GCACCCCATCCAGGCGCAGGTGAATTCAACCGGTCCCCCGACGGGCGCCGCGTCTTCACGAACTGGGTCTTGCAAAGAAACCGCGACACCTTCGCCATTCCCTTGTTTGATCGATGCTACAAAGACATTACACATGTCAATGCATGGACCTCTGGTCTCATAGACAATACCGATACTTACAGCCGCGTCGACCCTTCGCCCTTTCGGCGTCTATCTCGCAAATTCTATTTGCTTCAGAAAATTCATCTTCGTCCTCAATTGTATATTGCAGTGCAGATCGAGCAGTTTGCTCCCGAAAAGCACGACCTTTTCAAAGGAGAGTTCAGCGATCCATTATGCGTCTTTGGGGCAAAGGCTCACGTGATAACGCCACAAAGGCGGTCCTCTTCGCTACGTCTCTAGCCTTCTCCGCGCCCACATCTTCCGCCTGGTTTTCGATATCCGAGTCTTGAATAGTATTTTTCTTTCTTTTCCGCTGCATTCCGGCTTTTCCTATGGAGTTGGGTACCCCAAATATCATAAGCAATGCTCGCCCTTGTGACTGGGATTGGCGCTGACCGGATAACTGCCCGCGTCCTTTCCTTCGGACGCGTGAACGCTCCAAGTACTCCTCGTCCTCCTCTTCAACTACAGTAGCCATGGACCTCTTCTTTCCCCTTCTTTCTACCGGGGCTGCATACTGTCGACGAGGTGTAATGCGTCTGCCCCTCGAGGCTACTCACGATGAGGCTATGTATACGATGAAGAAGACCCCCAATGACTTACAGTAAGCCGGCAGCGCGTGCCATGTATCGGAGAGAGGAGCGAGTACGTCTTCTTGAACTTGTTGAGTGCCGAGATCTTCAAGACTTAGGTTTGGGGTGACGTTCTCCTGCTCTTCCTCGTCGTGCTCGCCCTCGTCGTGCTCGCCCTCGTCTTGCTCCTCTTCGTCTTGCTCCTCTTCGTCTGGCTCCTCTTCGTCTTGCTCCTCCTCCTCTTGCTCCTCCTCCTCTTGCTCCTCCTCGTCTTGCTCCTCCTCGTCCTCGTCCTCGTCCTCCTCCCTGTCGTGCTCCTCTACCCCCTCTACCCCCTCTACCCCCTCTACCCCCTCTACCTCTTCCTCTCCGTCACTTTTGATGTAGTCAGTGTCAGAAACGTCGTAAAGATAGTTTTTGCTGTTGGGTTCGCCTTCGTCGTCTTCTTCGCTGTCCCAAGGCTGTTCACCGTACTCTTTTATCAGGGTTCCTAATGCCGATATAATAGGATCGAGCGGATCGCGTTCCGACCCGCTATCATCGACATCCCACCTTTCGTCGTCGGATGGAACGCTCTCGGTGTCGGAAATATATCTGGAAGATTCGAGCGAAGTATTAAGTATTAGCGCTATGTAGGCAGCTGAATCTGAGGCCTTACTGGATGCTATCGATGCGGGTAGACATTGTATTTCGGTCGTGTAGCGGAGGAGGGAATAGTAAAGAGACGATAGTGGTGCTGCTGATAGGGGCGGAAAAGGAATCTGTCGGACGGTCAAGCGAAGCCCAGAATTTATGCGCACGCCGGGATCAACAACGGGCCAAACAACGCAGCAAATAACGCGGTGGGACGCGTCAACACCCAACGATGACGAGATATTTCCCAGAAGAGGAACTCCCATTGTTCGCGCATGTGGCACTGTGGCTCAAAGTCCGGGCCATTTCGTACATAGATCCTACTCTCGGTCTTGCTTACCAGAAGCATTACCTGCAGGACATCATGGGATTAGTGACCTCCTAGACAGTGTTTAGAGTCACCCCGACGTCGACAGCGTTCGATGTCGATGCCGATTACCCGCCGCATCCACGCTTGGGTGCCTCTCACCTGCGTCTTGACAGTAAGCATTCATTTGATGCAGATTCTATTCTCGATGCCTTTCAAGGTCGCACGAGATCTGACCTACCACATCAGTTCAAATTCTTCCTCCACGAGGAGGTCCTTACAGTAATCTTCGGAATGTCTGGCAGAGGTACCATTTATCGTGCGAGGATGTCACTGACATCGACAGCTGGTGCTACCACATGACCTGCTCCGTCTCAACGAGTTGTCCACCTTTCAGCCTCTGGTCGTGCAGATATGGTAGCACGACGTACCTGGTGCCTTTCCCACTTCCACGTCCAACTTAGTGCGCCACATGAGGAATAGCGAAACCTGGGACCATTTCTTATCTACAAGGCTCTTTCTATCTACTGTCCACACTACGACGCTCGTATCGTCTCTGCCCTCCCTCAGTGCCTAGCTGAGCGACCCACGCAACCGCAGGCAGCCCCCGGGTCCTCGGCCTGGCCGTGGTAACCGAGCTCCTAATCGCGAACACGGGGTGTTTGGGACTACAGGACACCCTGTCACCAACTTCCAGCACTTGTAGTACTCAGGTACGCCTATCTTGCGGAAACCCTGAGCTGGGATGCCCTCGTAGAAGCATTGTGGCTACTGGAAGACGGCGACGTCAAGGTGGCTTGGCGACGGACGCGTAGAAGGTTTTGTGGCGTGGCTCGTTCTGCTTTTGGCGACGAGACGACGGGCGATATTACTCTGTCGTTTTGAAAGAGCAACGACGTACAGGAAATTTTCGAGGATATTAGGGAGGACGGATAGAGGCGAGTTTCGACATACGTGCGAAGGACGAAGGCACCCGGGTGTGTCCGTATGCCACTTATATCCACGTGTTTCAGTTCTAATTTTCCTTTGCGATTTCCTCAGCCGCTCTCTGAATCGCTATACCGTCCAATACTTCCCTCATCGTCGCTCAAAATGCCTTCAAACCCACCGTAAAGGCCGCTAAATCGTTTGCTCTGCTCCGTGACATCGGCAGTCACCACCCTCCTTGTTGCATCGTTCTGCTCGGCGTCTACGCTGGCATTCTCCCTCCTCGAAGCATGGGACCGCCGTCGTACCGATCGTTATTCTGCTGCTGCTATGTCGGACCTCAGGGATTCTCTGGGGGCTACTGGGCTGCAACGTCGTCTGATCACCGCCAACGATCGTCACAGCACTCGAAGCTGGCAGCGTGGCTTGCGCGTCGAGCCATGCCTTCGTTTATTCTTGCGTTCCTGAAGACGCGAGTCTCGATCCATGATTATCCATATATCTGCTACAGGCTCTCCGTTAAGGCTGTCGATCGGTGCTGGTTTCCCTCGCTGGACATCTGCTGTGATCTGTTCTCATCGAGGCTTTGACCCTGTTTGCGTTGTCCATGGAGGCGAAGATGGAGTCAGTCTTGCTATTGTCGCACGAATCGATCTATTATGCATATCTCCGATGGCCAAGCAAACCAAGCTGTACACCGTCTTCAGGCGAGGCTGACTCGACCGTTGAGAGCATGGTCCTTATCGTTCGCTCGCGACGGTGTCATTTTGCTCTCAGAGCCACGATTTTGGGCCCTTGCATTTGGCATGACCCGTCTGCGCTGTCCTCGTAATACTCCAGCTTTCGCTCAGGAAGATGTTGCGGGATCCTCATGAGCACCCGGTGAACTGAGTAATTCGTACGTCCATGACGCACACCGCGAGGGGAACTCATTGTTAGGAGCGGCGATCTCGTCAATGCGCTCTACTCATTGACATATTGATCCGAACTACAGCCTGACATGGAATACACATACGAGACGATGGGACCACCGTCTCATCGTTATCTTCGAGTTGCAAGGGATTCGGACTTCACCCTACCTTGTATCGTCTTGTCGCTCTCATTTCCCGATGAAGGTCCTACTTTCTGCACGCGCGTCTTCGAGCATGCCGACGTACGGACGCATAAGTACCGTAAGTCGTGGGGAAGGGGTCGGAAGGGCGCATCTCGCTATTCCTCGCGGGACATGATTTCGATTGTCCTTGCCCAAGATTCGAGTTATATCGCTATTGATGACGCCCTCCTTCTGTCATTGGCATGTCTTAGGTAGGCATGCAATGCAATAGAACACGTCCTCTGGTACACAGATATAAGCAAGTCATCACCTTCATATCGCATGGCCACCCTCTACGCTATCTCATGCATGAAGCGTCCAAATCCTCATTTAATGGCTGGAGATGGGCAGCTTGAGACGAATCCAGCCAGGTTACTTGACGATAGGGTTCACCCCGCGCGCCGCCAAGTAATCCTTTGCTGCGCTTACGCTCTGAACAGTCATTCAGAAGGACACGCTCAACAATGGAAGGAGTTCACTTACAAGTCCCTTGATCAACTCATATACGCTCTTGTCATGATATCGCAAGCCTGTTGCAGGCTCAGTGTACGGTGCCTTCAATTGCTATGATCAGATCGTCCATCTGTACGAGCAGTACCAGAACGTACCTCCAACCCAGTGATATCGCAGTAGCGCTTCTGGGGTAGTACAGACGGAGGCGCCTCAATAGAAGTATCTACGGGGTAGTGCGTGAGTCCCAAGGAAATGTCCTTCATCCACGAAGGCCAGACGCTCACAGAAAGGCATATCGTCTTCCACCACCCCGTCCTTGGCCTCTTCATCAACCTCCATAGCCTCCTCCTTCTCCTGCCTCCTACGATCTCTCTCCAACCTCTCTCGTTCCCGCTCCTGCGTCAAGACATTCTTCAGAACCCGTGCCCGACGGTTCACATTCTTGCTATAGTTAGGGTTCTTGAACGGTCGTGGAGCATGCAGATATGAGTACTGCTCGGCAAGTGTCTAGAAACCACTGGATAGTAAGTAGGCAAACTGGCGGTACGCGGGTGAAACGAGAAGGCGTACCGGTCCTTGCGGGGTAGCTGACCCGTCGGTGCTTCCTAGTTTACGCTTTCCTGATCCTTTCGGAGGCCTAAGTTCAGTCGGCACATTAAGATATCACGGCGCCATAGGCTGCTTTCTACTCACATGGTCAGAGAACGCCACAAGGAGCCGGAGTTGTATGTCAGGATGGCAAGTCCGTCATAAGTCCTTTGTCTTGCAATTGGTGCAACCTTGGGGCCATGGACGTGCCATGGACTCCAATTACCACGGTTGGCCCAAGCGCCCATCTGGCCACTCTTTGATATCTCCCCATTCACTGACTTAAACTCTTCCAGAGGCTCTCCGACTCTTATGTGATATCTTTCTTCCCGCTTCAGGCGAAGGGGGGCTGGAGCTTCCAATCAGTTTTAAGACAATCCCAATCGATACCCTGCCGCACGACGCACAACGCTAGCCTCTCGCATAAAGGGATATGGTCTCGCAAATTATACGATCTCTAGAAGCTCCACTTTAGCATCGGGAGGTTGCATAATCTGCTAGATCGGCTCAGAAACTGTTTGTTCTTATCAAAGACCTTTCTTCGTGATCACGACGCCTGGGCGCAGTCCGCTGTCCACAAAGATTGGCACCAGCGCCACTCAGACTCTTGACCCGATCGTTCCTGCGACCTGAGTATCACACGCAGATGATGTATGACAAGACATTGAACAATGTGCTTCTGTGTCTTTAACTTATGGATAAACAGACCTCGCGCCGCAGCCTTTGCGAACTAGAAGGTATGTCGTACGAAACAATCTCCGACGCTGTTTTGTCTCAGGCTTCGCGGAAGCGCTCGCCCTTTCAAGTGGGAGATTGAGCCGTTCTCTCGAGACTTGGCAAGGTATCATCATTCTGTATTTTGTTTGTGTTGTCTCAGGCCGCCGTGCAATCCGTACGCACTCCTGCTCGAAGTATGATAAAACTTCTCTCCTTTGTATATCCGGTCGCAATCTTGGCGTCTCGATTCAAGTGTCACATCATTGTGTCTGGCAGTTATATAAGACGACGAGAAAGAGTAGGGCGTTCAGCAACAGCACCTTCGTTCTGCGAACCGTCGAAATCCCGGATCGTTCTGGGATACTTCACCTGTGCGTCCCGTGACTAGCTTCTTGCATAACCGAACCCTGTAACAATCGTAGTTGCTGGGATATGCCTTGTCGCCTGAACCTCCACGCGTCTATCATATACTGCTCACTTGGACCCATGATCTTGCGAGGAACGCTCCGATCTTTTCCAAACAGAATGCGTCTCATACCAATGCCACCAAAAGACGGGTGCGGCATTACTTCCTCTTGAATATGAGCTAATCTAATTTATTCAACTGCGCCATGCTACCCACATAACGACGTATCAATATCATCTGTCCGATATAGGACGAGGTACGTGAACACTGCATATCTCGTTTTCTGTTTCTGATGTGTTCCTAGTCTTTATACTGAGGCGAAGCGGGCACCCAAGGAAGGCAAAGGCAAAGGCGAGGCGGAGGATGAAGAGGAATATGGAGAGGACGATATCGAGGAGGACGTACATGAGCCATTCCACTTACAGAATGGAGAATACCCGCTCGGATGTTTGGACGACTCCGAGATTCCTAGATTGGTAGAAGACGGAACGGCGGATGATGAAGGAGAAGAAGAGGACGGCTCCCTGGAGCAAAGGGAACCTGTTGACGAGGAGGACGATGACAGCTATGGTATGTATTTTTTTAAACTCTGGTCTGGTTGGGATATCTCTAAGGTTCGGCGCGCGCCGTGTCTTCAGAGACCGCATCGGAGCATAGCGGTCACGTAATATTTGAGGGCGAGGTTAAAGAGAACGACAACCCTGTCGCACTTGGTGGCCTCTCTCCCACTGACTGGGAGTACGTAGCTCCTCGATACTGTAAGTGTCCTCGATCGCGTTAGAGTGTCCTGTCTAATCGCGAGTAGCGTCGAGTGGTAGGCGTATAACTCCTACTGCCCGATACATGGTTTCCGTGGAGCGCAAGGGCAAAGCGAAGAATATCCAAGCAGCCATCGTGGAGGAAGGCGAGGACGATGACGACCAAGAGTGGGAGAAGGCGCCGAAGAAAGGCAAAAGCAAAGGGAAGGGTAAGGCCTCGAGTGCCCCTTCGGCAGGTGAGGCCTATCTCTGATTTCACCGTAATGCTGTTGTTCAGACCATCCGGGGATAGCTCGCTCCACAAGGAGCAGGAAGGGCGATAGAGCGCAACGGACAGAAGAGAAGGGAAGGGGAAAGTCGCGCTGGGAGAGTCTCCTTGTGAGTATGGTCCTTGCCCCCCCAAGATCAGTCTGCGTAACGCGAGTGTCTGGCGCAGTCCGCAATGCATCCACTGGGGTAAGCTCGAGAAGATTTTGGAAGAGACGCAAATTGAAGGATTATGGGTCCGTCGAGGCACGCCGGACGACTGTCCACTTAATTTTCTTATTTTCTGCCATTCTAATTTGCTCTTAGATGGCAAGCATGCTCTGGTACTGTGGCTATATGCTGTACGCTGCTTGCTTCCGCGGTAAAGACTCTGCTCACGTATTATGTAGGAAAGTCCCATTGTCTTCCTCCACCGAGTCGCTCGTGAATCCCGAAGACACCATGTGCGACCACTCGGACTGAGAACACGATGCTAGGGATTCGGAGAACTCCGGTCCGCAAGCATTGAGAGGCCGTTATGGGTCAAACAATACCGAAGACGATGCCAATGACAAAGGCGGGAATGAGCATCTGGGAGACCAGGGGGTCCTGCGCGAGCAAGGCGGCTGTGGCGAAAGGCGTCTGCAAACTCGCTTAGCAGACCCCTACACCGACATGGTGACGGAGAGCGAGAGTGAGGACTCGGAAGGTCCGGCCGAAGAGGACGAGGTCGGTGGAGCCGTTATTGGTAAGTTTCGGCGTCGTCGTAGTCACATTCGTAATCGCCCTGCTCAGCTTCGCGCATGATTCCAGAGGCAAGGCCGGTCTATCTCAAGCGAGGATGTGGATACAACGTCGCAAGAACCACGGGGGAACGACGACCAGGCCCCAGGGCCATCTCTTCATCGTGGTAGAAGTGGAGGTAGGTATTCGACTCTAGATATTTATTCAGCCGTCCTGAAGTGACTAATAGCTGTCAGCCGCGTAGGTAGTCAGTCCTTGGCCCCTCTGCTCCCGGCATCCAGATTTCAAATTTGTCGGCTAGGATTTCCCCTCGAAACTGGGCCACTCCAAGAACAGAGATTTCGCGCCTCCTCGTATGCGTGCCACACCAAGGACGTATTACCAGGGCGTTTCTCCCTGTCTTCAATATACGGGCCATTCCTGGAATGTGAGTAGCTCGAATTTGTGGGGATACGATCCTAAAGATCGTGACTATGCTGCATACAGGGTCCTCAAGATTCAGAAGCCTATACAATGGCCATCGTATACATGGACCCCGTCTCCTGAGCGCAGACGCCCTCCCCGCCCCCGCACTCACGGTACGTACCGCTATCGCTTCGTAGGACTGGAATACCGGCTTACGACACGAATATCACAGTTCGACAAGGGTTTATTCGATTCCTACCTCGCATACCCAGCGCCACCGCCCTCACGGTCTCGTTCTCGGGCCTCCGTAGGCACCTGTCCATGGCAGGACCAGTTACGAGACCGTGTGGGCGGCGGCAAGCCCGCACTACCCCCTCCACCGCATTGGGTGTCCTTACACGAACTTAAACTGTCCGCACCGAGCTTTGCTGCTGCTGTCTACCGTTCGTAGGTGGTCTACGCGACTGTGAGATATTCGTAGTAGCCACCTATTAACTGTGGGCATTGAGGTGGTTTGAGAAAGGTGCTCTCGACTTTTGGGCACGAGCGTTCCTCGTCAGCGTCATCTATCCCCTGCTATTGACATATTAATTACGCTCATTGACCTCCAACCAGGTGATACGGACCTGCCGTTTTCAGGTCCCACACCCTTCCCGCTTGTACCCGCAGCCGCTCTCCAACGAGGTCTGGCTTTTTGCGACCAGAGTAGAAATATGGCACGCACGCGTAACAGCGCTGAAGGCGGATGCTACGCAAGCATGCCGGGGAATGCGTGTGCTTTGGATGCTGTCGGACGCGGGCGTACGGTTCGGGAGACGCGTCGTCCCTTTCCAGTTCTCGATGGATTGGCCGATGGACTGGCATTGGAAAGGGGCGATGCGTATGCTGTACGCTTCACTCGGGGATCTGGAGCGTTGTCTTGGGGTTAGGTGCGTCGTCTCCTTCGTTTTGTCACCCATTGGGTTCCTGCTCGAGGTCTCGCTTGGCGGTCACAGCCTTTAGTTCCCATTCGAAGAGACTGAAGGCTATGTACGCCCCGCCTAGAGTGTATCGTGGCGAAAACGGACCATTACACGGTAGGTGAGTCGTTCTCTTCAGATATATCTGAGAATCGAACTCGCAGACGTGCAAGCACCGCCTCCATGCAGAAGAGGGGATCGTAAGACGAGAGGTGTGGTACAGGCTCTAGCGGTCATCCGCTCAAGTCGTGATTTGGAAGCGATGAAAGCGAGAGCTGTGTCACGCGGTTCTCGGGAAGCCTTAAGCAGCCCTGGGCCCAGCGTGGGTGGGTGTGTAGCCGTTTTTCTGCGAGTATCGATATCCTGCCTCGAGAAAACAAGGCGTACGTCGTCAGTGGTTGGTGCTTGAAGTGTGTGTAAAGGAGCTCGTCTCCTTCCCTGAGTCGTCTTATACTTCAAGACACCATTGGAATCCAACGCCGTTTCCTCCATGGTTCCATCATTGTAGTGGTCTTTATCTGAACGGACATAAGGACCTCTATAATGAGGGCGCCATGCAGAAGAGTATAGCGATCGTGGCTGGACGCCGGCGCCACGGTAGACTCTTGCTGCACTCGACCCCTGATGCTGGCCTTCGATGTAGTGTATTCGTGTGAGATTCGTAAGTGAATCTACTTAGAAGGTGGGCGGAGGTTGGGCAATGTTATGCAAACGTTGAACGTTGAACGTTGAACGTCTGTCGAGGCAAGGGCCGAGTCGACTCGGACGCAAGGCCAGGTTAGGGTCTTACCGCGAGTCGCGCAGTTCCATCATCGCGTCTTTGACTCTTACTTCCCATTACCATCACAAAGTCGCTCGCTCTTTGGGCAACGGCACGAAACAAACGTCCGTCAGAACACGGTGGCCGTCGCTCATAGAAATGACTGGCCCGTGCACGATTTCAATCCGGACTGAACCACGTCCTGCGTCTTCAGTCAGTATCCGAATCGAACATAAATGCTATCCCTCCCCCTCCTCTTTCTACCATCCAACCACCGCCGCCGCCGCCGCTTTGCCTGTTCGTTGCCTGATAAGTCAGTTTCAGCACCATGCACTTCCTCAAGCTCTTGAAGTTGCACCGCCGCACCAAGTCGGACACTGACCTCCTTGGACTCGAATTCGTCTCTGGATCTGACAAGAACAAGGTCGACAAGAAGAGGAAGCGCTGGTCTCTCCGTGCGAGTGCTACCACTACCGTCTCCAGCATATCTTCCTCGGCTCCCTCTCATACGGATGATCTCGAACGTCGCCTGGAGCGACGCGACGCCGAAGATGGCTTCCTTATGAACGACACCAGCGCGGAACGACACCCCTTCTCCAACTCTGTTTTCCCTCAAGACGACCCAGCCGAGGTCGCCCGCCTCGAGCAGCAGATCGCGCACTACGACTGGCTGCTCAACCTGCTCTCCCTCCTCTCCACACACGGCGACCCCTCCTCCAGCATCACTGAACGCGTCGTCTCCCTGATACAAACCACTGCCGACTCTCCCTCCGACCCCTTCTTTGCTCTCCGCGCTGAGCTCATCTCCCCGCACGTCCCCGCGCCCTCGGCGGACTACAGCCGAGCGATGGCCATCACGCTCGCTGCGCGACGGAAGGAAAAGGAAGCGCGGAAAATGTATATGTGGTGGCGGCGCAAGGCCGAGGAGGTGCTGGGTTCGCAACGCGAGCTTGTGACGCCGTCGAACTCGCAGCTGGGGATCGAGGTACCGGGATGTGTCACGCCTACTGTCAGTACCGTCAGCATATCGAGGATTGAGCGCGAATGGGGGTTCGTATGGGGTGAGGATTTAGATGACGGGGCGGCCCGGATTCCTTCCGTCAGCTCGAGAGAACTGGTTCTCGTCGGTAGTACGTCCCGGGAGCTGGTGCTCGCTTCCGGCAATTCCCAGGACTGCGTTCTTCGTCCCAGAAGCTCGAGGGAGCTTGTTCTCGCCCGGAGGCCTTCTAATGAAGGTATCTTTACCTCTAACTCCAGGGAGCTCGTCCTCGCCTCCAGCACCTCCCGAGAGCTCGCACTCATCCCAAGCATCTCTCGCGAACTCGTCATCTCCCGTAGATCCTCTAGGCAACTCCTCCCCGCTTCCAGTAGCTCCAACATCCTGGCTCTCTCTTCTATTCCCTCCGTCAACCGCGTGGTCGCTCCTCCCTCCTCGACGTCTGCTCGCACCTTCCCGACTATCCCCTCCAGCCGGTTGTTCTCTCCTGTCAAGCTTGCAGAAGCGCTCTATCGCCTTTCCCTGATCACGAGCCCGAGTCCGAGCACGGCGACGATCAGGCTGTTATGTGCGCCCCAGGCTTCACGGTCGATATCGGGGGTTGATTCGCAGGAGAGCGTGCGTGCCGAGGCAGACCGTAATAGCCCCGTTGATGTCCAGGGAATCACAGACAAGGAAGAAGTGGACCCCCAGCCAGTTGCGCAGCCCTCTTCGATCCGCGCTGTCAACTTCACGCCCTCGGACGCCGCCCAGGTTTCCCTTCCGTATCCTCCCACCAGTCCGCTTCCCGCGCCCGCCACGCCCAAGCCTAAGTCCAAGCTCGCAAACGTCCTGAGGAAGTCGCCGATTTCGAGGCCGGCGTTTTTGTCCGGCGCGCCGAGGTTCCCTCCTACCTCCCCAAAGCCCAAGCCGAAGACGTCGTCTCCGCCTCGTAGCAAAGCAGACAAAACTTCTCGTGCGCCAACGGATGGGTCTCCTCGTGGCAAAGCGGGGACACCCCCTGCGAAGCTGTCCTCCCTGCGGTTCAAAGCGCTCAATTTGAGGGCTATCTCGCGGTTCATCGCGAAGCCCAAGGCTCAAGTGGAGGTGGACGACGCGAGCTTCAGCTTCGAGGCGATTGATATGCCCGAGGTCGAGGCAGACGCCATTCCGGTTGACCAGGTGGAGGGGAAGGAGGAGCGGAGGAAGAGCTGGGGCCGGAGCTGGGCGGGCCCGAGACTCGCAGAGGACGATGCGGCAAACGGGAAGGTGGGGACGGTTGATGGCAAGATGAACTTGGAGCAGAGGCAGACGAGGAGGTCGTCGAGGCTGCCTACCCTGCGGAGGAGGGATTGATCTTGGAACGAGCGGATTTCCACACATCACTATCCATTTCTTTTAGTAACATACCCTTATCTGTAGCAGTATGATTTGTAGTGTATCATCAGCGTTGTATTACTACCTCGTGTCCGATTCATTATATCGATATCATCGTGATAAATCCTCCTCTGCGCTTGTAATTAGTTATATCGCTACCTCGGCAGGTCTCAGCGTGTCAGAACATTCGCGAAGGTATAACCGGGGAATGGGATACGGTATGGTGTCAGACGATGTAAAGGTGGAGAGCATATTCCTTATTCGCGAGAGCAATTGATATAGCAAGCTAAGGTACATCTATGACGGTGCAGAAGTGACCAAGAGAACGGGCTGGAGAAAGAAATACAATCGAATGATGAGAGAACTGCTATCGATACACCTTCAAGCTTCAGAGTTAGGCATATCAAAGAAAATAATCATGCGAGTGACGATAGGGATGCAAGGTCCATGCTAAGGAAGAGACTGCCGTCCTTTGCGCCTGGGAGAGTGATCCCTTGCCTCTTGCAGAGAACTCACGTCCGCCAACAATCCAAGCGCACACATCGCTCCGCACCCCACCATGTTGGGATGCCGAACCTTTGTATTCACCGCTTCGGTCTGTCCTCGCGATAGTTGGGCCCAATAGACGAGCATTCTCATCAACCGGGATCCGTCCGTTGCTTTGAAGACAGGGGAAATACACGCGTGGCATGCTTCGGGTTCTTTGGATTGCTGAACGCCCCGCTTTGACGGGGAGCGTCCACGGGCCCGAGAGGGGGAGGCCGTGGAGGCTGAGAGTGGGCCCGTGTCGCTGTTTGGAGGCCGAAGGGCGTACTCGGATGGCGATCGGAACATAGCAGATGAGGAGGAGGGGAGCTCTGTCAGGCTCCCCCATAGGCTAGGACCGGACGGGCCAGGATTAGATTTCTCGAACTGGCCGAATACCCATTGTTCGTACGTGGTCACTGCAAAATAATCGCAGTAAAGCTCGGCGCAGACAGCCCGAGTCTGTAGAAGAACGCACGGTGAGGTTAGCGAGAAGCGATCTGGATAAGGAGAGCTTAGCTTACCACAGCCCATACGGTCTCATACGTAGTCCATTCTCTCTTCTTGCCGGAATCAAATAAGCCCGCGTCGAACTGTGGCGATCGAATCGTCAGCCGAGGGTGCCGTTTCTACGGAGTGACGGTAGGTACGTACCACACGTGCAGATGCGAAGCTCGTGAAGTCAGTTGGACTTAGCAGACCGGGAGCCACGCATATAACGGCCATGGTATAAGCTTCTGGACCTTGAGGTCCCTGTATAACAGCATAATCATAATGTGGAGGACAATATATATACACTGGAGGTACTCACATTCCAGGATATGGCACGTATATCGAACCAACGGGAGAAATGCCGTACTAATAAACCCTTGGCGTGACACGTCCCGAACATCAGTCCATCGAGGCCAGTGACAGGGTTACCAAGAGACCGAGCGATGAGCGTCGCCGTATCTAGGACGACCTGCACCTCCGCGCCCAAGCGGCAGGGGTCGCCAACATGATGCTCCAGATAATAGCATGTCTTAATGCTTGTCGCAGGCAACAGTAGTTCGCATTGCAGTACTTGCACATCGGTCACGGCTCGGAAGTCTAGTGGCTACAATCAATTCATGCTGACACAAGGAGAGGCGGAAGGCTACTTACAACGATCAACCTGGCAGCTCATACCAAAGTGACTCTCCAACACCTCGACAAAATCCCACCTGCGCGCCTTTGGTGAGCGTACTACCTGGGATTGTGGCCCTCCTCCGGTGTGGCTGCGTGAGGTCATAGATGGCGCGAAGGTCAAGGGGCAGAGAATGACATTGCTGAGGTAGGCCTTCAGGCCGACGGTGGGTCGTTCCATGGCGTTAGATCAAGAAGAGACAGAGAGGAATCAGAGGAAAAGAACAGGGAAGGGCAGGGTCAAAGCGTGAAGACCGAGGCGGGATCAAGAGACTTTTTATATGTTCAAGGCCGGCTACTGTCGCGTCCAGGATAGGAAAAAGCTTGTTTAACGCTTAGCTTCTGTGGCAAATTTGATGGGTCAAGTAAACTCACGGGTGTAGAGAAGGAGCGATCCCTGGTGTGGTTCGCCTCCGCAGGCTGTTGGCTGCGCACTTTGTATTCTCGCGGCTTCCCCATTATTGGTTATGGCAACTGCCCTTTGAGCGGTGCTGGGCTGATTCGGTCCATACACGTATCAGTAAGCAGAAGTTCGTGGAAACTTGACGCGTCACTGTGGCCCGCCTCGTGGCACCTTGTGTGGCAGGCGACGCGGGACGCGCTCTCTAATCACAACCACGTGTGGTCTGTAATGGCATGTCAGGCACCCGTGACTCTTCCGTGGCATATGTAGTGCTGGTTTCTCGTCACTTCTAAACATCATGCTAGCACAGTTCAAGTTGATGGCTGGGAGCTACGTCCGGGACACTTAATCAAGTGCAGAGTCTATAACAGCCAACGATGAATTATTGAAGAAGAAAGATCCAACGATAGGGCACCTACGCCTTTCCCAGGAACTTTGGGGCGCTTTTCTGAAGCTCCGCGGTTGGACGTCTATTGTTCATACAACGAAGTGCTGCTGGATAGAAGACAACGCCTTCGTAATCATTCTTCAGGTGTGCCAATCAGTATTCCGGGAGCTGGAATGGCCCGACCGGCATGGTTATCAAAGACTTATAGAGCTGTCGCGGCATCTCCAGGAATTGCCGAACAACTGAGCGAGTTACCGGCATCGGGAGATACCAGTTCAAGAGGCCGTGGGAAAATCAGCCTGCGAGTCCTCCCGCCCCCATGTAATTGGTCAGAAGTAGAACAGCGTCATACGTTGTACATTTCTATGGCGTACAGCGTTCATATCTCGCGGCTATAGCCCAGTGGGCCCCGTCCACATATCGATCATATCAATCACCAAGTATCCCTTCTGCGGCACATATTGTTTTGTGATCATCTTGATCGCCTCCTGGGCTACCATGCCCCCAAGGAAGGCTGCGACGTTAGGCAGGTCGGAGGTGGGTGCTCGCGCTCTGCATAAAATTGTGATAAGCAGGCATAGCATGAGACGAGTAACAATCACACGCACACTTCACCAACCGCAGCATCGAGCTGCTCCTCTGGTAGCTCAACTCCTGAGCCGACGATACTCTGTACTTGTGCCTTGAGAGATTCAGCAGTCGGTGGCGCTGCTGACTTGAGAGATTGTGAAGAATTCGCGGAGAGTGCTAGATGCGTCGCTGTTTCCCGGGGCGAGATAACCAGCGAATTTGCTAGAGCAAAACACCAAGTCAACGTCAAGGCCATGACCCATCGTAATTACCCGCCACGCACCTAACGCCGCAGAGTCCTCATCAAATTCCCCCCACCGCTTTCCCCTCATCACTAAGATCGCATGCGCGTTCTTTACGAACGAATCCACAAGCTCCTCGTCGATCTGCACGTCCTTGCTGATAAACGACTTGAACACCTTCTTCTCCTCCTCAGCACGACGCTTGTACAGCGTCTGCAGGTGAATGTAGTTCTTTGTGTCGGAGCGCATGTCGGGGAGGGTCGATGTGAGGGGGAGGGTGTGCGGTGGCTGTAGTGTGAATTTATGCAGGGCGGAGAGGAGGTGAAAGAAGGGTGGGGAGGAGGGGGAGAGGGAGGAAAGGGCGGGGTCTTGGAAGAGGGATGAGATTTCTGAGGGGACCTAGCGTACGCGATGGCGAGGTTTACAGAGCACTTTGCGAGCGAGAAAGGAAGTTACGTACGGTTGTTTCTGTCCAGGCCCGGTATGCCTGTGCTTCAGCCTCGTCGAAGTTTTCCTCGTCATGTTTCTTCTTCATGGCTTGGATACCTTTCTTGAACTGCTGTTTCTCAGCGTATGTCTTAGGCGGATTACCCCCGTGCTTGGTTCGTAGACCAGTGAGTGGCAGAACCTACCCCAACCACAACTGCACTCACCGCCTTCTTCCAGTCTTCGAGGGCTCGAATAAGAATGACAACGTAGGGGATGTGAGCGTGGTCCATCGGATCCATGTTGTCAAGGTCGAGGGACATAGCATGTTCATACAGTTCAGGGAAAGGCTTGTCTATGCGTAGCGATGGCATAGCTTCCGAATGGCTCTCGATAACTGGATGACACATCAATACTCGATTTCGCGTTAAATCGCAAGACAAAAACGTACCAGTGTGTTCGTGAAACTGAATGAAGAACTCCGCGAGGAATCCTGCTGATCTCACCACCATGAGTGTAGGGTATGACGGGTCCGACCACAAGAACTTGGCGAGCTTGTCCAACAGCACCGCATCCAGATTATGCGCGATCACGAGGTTGAACTGTAGCAAATACTCGGGGTTGTTACTCAACACTTCCTCAATGTTTGCTTGATCCGCCTTGCCCTCCACGCTGTCATTCAGCTCGCCAAGCAGCCGCACAGCTTCGTCCGCGCGCCTCTTGCCAATGCTTTTCTGGCCCTCGAAAAAGAAGTTGTTGCCTGCGTCTTCAGGGGTGACGGTGCGGTGATCGAGGACGGTGAAGTGACCGATACCAGGGAGGACGAGGTTCTTCAGGACGGACGTGGCCGTGGCCGTGGCACCAATTGCTAGGACGCGAGATGATTCAAGGGCATTCTGACCCGTTGCAGCCCATAGCCTATGGAGATCAGATTTCATCTATGTCTGATGCCTCAGCAGGCTCACCGAAGTTGTCGATCGTATCGTCTGGTCTTGTTATCCGGCTGGCCTCTAGATCCCACTCATGATCAGATCGAGCTCGACTTGTCTCGCGCAATACTCACGTAGCAACATTGGTGGTCACTGTCTCTATATCCTGCGATTCCCTGCGAGGCGCGGTAAGCCTCGATGTGCAGTGTCCGCACATACCACTCACGTAGCCATCTTGTTTAGGTGCAATATTCTGCTCGACTAAGCGTCAAGTCGGGAGGAGCCTGCTTTGAACAGTTATGAAAACATACCAGTGTTTGCAATATTTCACGTACTTCTGGACACAAAGGGAATTCTCGTGCAACCAGGGTCCAATACGATTGTACCAGTGGCGAGTAAGCAAGTGCGATGATGAGTCGCGTAATAACGCGCCTGTCATTCAAAGCGCGTAGATGCTCTCGATTGAGTCGATTCACTCCAAATGCGGGCTTAGAATGTCCCATATTGAAAATGCTAAGCCCATTTATAGTCATTCAGGCAAAACACTAGATGTAAACTTATCCTTTCGATTCTTGTTTGCTTTCACCTCTGCGTTGCGTGAATTCGCACCTCAGCCAGCCCCCTCCCCCCGGCGTATTCTCAGATGCCAAAAGACCAGTCGAGGAAGCGGCCCTCAAGGTCCCAAGAGGGGCCACCAAGTAAAAAGATCCAGCTAGCGAAGCCTGGCAAAGATCGTGCAGAGAAGACCCAAAAACGCAGTCGGCCGATCACAAAACCTGCACAAAATGAGAGCGAGACTGGATCAGAGGACGAGTTTCCGGAGGGTACTGGCAACGAGGAAGAGGCAGAGGAGGAAGATGATGTCGACGAGGGCATGGCCGTGGACTCCGATAGCAAACACGTAAAGATAAATAATGGACAATGTGCGTACTTCTGCTCTATCCCTATGCTCAAATTGATGGCTGCGAAAAGCTGCAAAAGAGTCGCACAAGGCCCAAAAAGTCCTCCTAAACGAGCGGAAAGCAGCCAAACCGCATGCCGACATGTTAAGCAACGCCAAACGTATATGGAACCTCGCACGCCAGAAAAATGTACCCGAACCCGAGCGGCGAAAGCATGTCCAAGACCTGATGAACGTTATCCGAGGCAACGTCAAGGATATCGTCTTCAAGCACGACGCTAGTCGAATCGTGCAGACGGTAGTGAAGTATGGAAAGCAGGATGTAAGGGAGGAGATCGCAGAAGAACTCAAGGGCAGCTACAAAGAGCTAGTACAGAAGAGATACTCGAAGGTACGTGGGACCCGCTATGCAGCTTGTTTTGCACCCTCAAGCCGCCCCAATAGTTTCTCGTGAACAAGCTGATCAAACAGTGCCCCTCACACCGCGCCGCCATCCTCCTTGAATTCAAAGGGAACGTAATCCGCTTACTGCTCCACCGCGAAGCCTCCAGAGTGATCGCAGATGCCTACGAACTGTACGGGAACGCCTACGAGCGTTCCATTTTGCTGCGGGATTTCTACGGGAAAGAGGCGGCATTATTCTCGATGACAAGCGGCAGCGATGCGGATAAGGAGCGGTCGAAGAAGGGGCTGAAGGGCGTGTTGGAGGGCGCGCAGGGCGAGACACGCAAAAGGGTCTTGAATGCACTAAAAGAAAATCTGCTCTTGATGTGAGTCGCGCGGGATGCCGGTCGATCATGAAGCTGACGCTAGCTTAGATTCAATAATTCGGATAAAGGTGCTGTCACACATGGGATAGTCCATCACGCCCTATGGGAGTATATCACGGAGGTGAATGCTATGGAGGACGAGGCAGAACGCGAAAAGTTGTTCAGGGAGATGTTTGATAGGTGCGAGATCTCCTAAGGTCGGGTAATATCTGTCCTGAATCGCGCACCAGCTGTCAAGATGTGCTCGCTGAGATGGTCCACACTAAGCACGGAAGCCGAGTGGTCCGCGAATTTATTGCTCGAGGTACAGCCAAGGTTAGCAATTGTTCATCACGTATGCACCGGTGTCCTCACGAGTTCATTAGGACAGGAAACATATTATCAAAGCCCTCAAGCCACACATCGAGCGCATATGCACAGACGACGAAGCGCAGCTTGTCCTCTTCACGGCGCTAGACTGCATTGAGTATGCTCTCGTTTTACCATATCGTCTCCGACTAACCCCGTCTGCCCTAGCGACACCAAGCTCCTCGCCAAATCGGTCGTCACCGAAATCACCTCAAAAGCATCCATGCTGTACACCTGTCCGCAAGGCAGGCGCTCCCTTCTGTACCTCATTGTCCCGCGCTCGCGGCGGCACTTCACTCCTGCGCAGATCGCGCTGCTCGCCGAGACGGACGCATTGAAGGCCGGCACGAGCAAGAAGGACGACCAGACGCGCAGGGAGGAGGTGCGCAAGGCGGCGAGTGAGGGACTGCTAGACTGGATAGCGCGGAGTGGAAAGGACGTTGTCAGGGATCCTGGGGGCTCGTTGGTCGTCAGTGAGACCATGCTCTCTGCAGAGGGCGGTGAGTCCGTTCTGGTGCGCACTTACAAACGATAGCTGAGCGAGTGCATAGATAAAACTGGGGCGATGGAGAGCTTGCTCAAGGCCGTTGCGTCGCCTTACCCGGGTAAACCCGACTTGCCACATCCCATCGACTTGCCGCATACGGCGAGGGTGTACAAGAATCTGCTGCAGGGCGGACACTTTGACCACACGACATTGAGCGTATCTCGCTCCCCTTCCTTCTCTTCCTCTGTGTTTGCGGAGAAGTTCGTGCAGATCGTAGGGAAGGATGTGACGCTGGCCATGGCGAAAGGGAATGGTGCATTTGTGGTTGCGGAGCTGCTGGAGCGAGTGAAGGCGGAAGGATCGGATGAGCTGAGGAAGGAGGTAAGAGCATGGTTTAGTGGACAGGTAAAGAAGGAAATCGAGGGTGCAGACATGAAGGGGAAGAAGGTGTTGTTGGAGAAGATAGACGCTTTGTCATCATAGCCGTCCTGGTGACGATCTAGTGGTCCGTCTATGTTACTCGTGTTGCCGTTCGGTATAGTATTGAATCATTATCCTGGTGATTTAGGATATATGCGTAATGACATGTACAGTCCTCATATACACCCGGATGACCCGGCATCAACCGCTTGAATGAAAGGGAACTCGCGCGTGGAGGTGTTCGTGAACTTAGCGACTGGTCACTGGGCCCTAGTCCGACTGGCACCATGATCTTGAGCAATGCGGTATAATCGATAAGGCACTTTGCCACCCTCTCACGATTTCAACCAACACGCGACCCTGAGGCAAGATTGGGGTGCTTCTCATGTTTGCGCTTGTGGGTCCAACATTCCGTTCTGACCCCAATCTCTGCTCCAGATCAATGCCACCGGGCGAATTTTGAGCCACCACTCGTTCTGGCTCTGAGCCACACTGCCTACTGCGATATTGGTGCACTGGCAGGAGTTGCCTGAGTACTTCGTTCACCTGCTCGGGGCTGCTCTCGTTCTGGCGTGGCAAGGTCTACAGGTGACGAGAGCCTTATCCTTTTCGCAGAGACCTTGAAACTGAGAAACAAAGTATCTGCCGCCAGACAAAGCGGACGTGAATCAACTGGGCTTCGCGAATCCCACAGTTAGGGTAAGACTTCTCCATCAAGATCAATGCAACGGTGCATATCCAATAGGCTGTGGGTGTCGCTACCCTGAAGTCAACCTGCAAGCAGCAGGGACCGTACAAAGCAATTGCCATAACGAGAACAAGTGCGCCTAGGGTTTGTTCTGATCATGATGGGAACATATCCTTCCTCTTGGGGCTATACGCGTAGCAGCGATAACCAAACAAATAATACGGTGGCTGCTGCTCTTAGACCATGTAAGTGTTAGTATTCCTGCAGTAACTGCGTGCCACTCACTGACATCGGGCGACGTACTGTGCCCTTGCTCAGAGAGTCCTGCTGTATCAACGCAGTTCAGTCTGATGCAAGCTTGGGCTTCCTTTCTGCCATGCAGTTACGCAGCGCTGAGCCAAGAGAAATACAAAGCGCAGGATTTGGCTTCGGCTAATGCATAGGTGGGTTGTGTATTTCTGTGGGTCCCACCTTCCATAGTTCTTCGCTTGCCGGAAGAACCATTGCAGGACCTATAAAAGAGGCTCTGCAGCAGGCGCAGTCCCATAAGTCCAACAACCCCCTCCTGCACATTCCACCTTGTCCTGCGCGCACTCTATCTGTCACGTCAACGCTGCCATCATGAACGGCAGTCACCCCAATCCCGAGAGTCTCAAGAGCTACGTGTCTATGGCGTACTTGCACCCGCTAACCCAAGATCCCAAGATGCAGACCGTCGATGGCACGGGTTTCGCAGACACATGGCCCCGATTTGGTGCCACCCCAGCCATGAGAAGGCCGCCGGGGTCAAGGATTCTCAAACTTGTTCATCCTCTGTCATTGGACCGTGTCATGACCGCTAGTCGTCAATGTAAGTGCCACAACGTTCCACCGCTTTGATTGACCCCTCATCCCCCCAGACTTCTCCCGTATCCCCGACGTTCCGGTGATATGGGGTAATGACTCCCTCAACCTGCCCGCGCAAGGCATTATCGAGCTTGACGAGGAGGCCAAAGAGGAGCTGACGGTACACGACCTCCCCAGCTTCTCAGAGGCGCTCAATGCATCCGTCCTTTCTACCCTCGAAGAGTGCATGCGGAAGTTGGCCGACAATGAGGCACAGTGGGAGACCGCGACCTTCAGGAATATCTCTCACATGCGGCCGGTTCCTGGCGCCTTCTGGGATACGTATGCGCTCCCGAAGCCATCAACCCAGGTACGGTAGTTCAATATCGGGGGGTTACGAAGCAGTATTCATCTCTATCTCAGCCTGGCGAGACGGAAGCAGGGATCGCTCTAGTATTGCTAGCCTTGCCACCGGGCCTGGCAGGTAAGGGTGATTTGATAGACTTCTGCGAGGCGCGAATGGTAAGCAGCAACAGCTCCCTGTGGGTTGGGTCCCATAGCTGACGGAGTAATAGATTCCCACTGGGAGGCTCGACCAAGATCGTGAAGGACCCCTCCATGACCCACGTAGATGGGCTGTTTATGAGACTATTTGGGCCGCGGTACGTCTTTTTTGGCAAAGTCTGCAAAGAACCCTCGCTCAAGATGCACATTTCGTCAGCTATACGACGCGTGTGCGGCTACACGGTGCCATTTCTTTGCCGTCACCAATTACGACTACTGGGCCCTGGGTGTCTTCAGCGAAAGTATGCCACTCTCACTTTCTCCCCCGAAAGCACACTCATGAGCTTTCCCCTAGCGAAAATGATGGTCCAGACATTCGATCTGATCCCTAGGCCCGGTGTTCAAGATACGAGGCATTTGGACCATCCTGGGCTGGCCGACTTCAACAGCCGCGTGACCCTTTTCCAGATGCTACTCTGGTGGTGCTTGGTAGCTCGTGGCCAGGCTAATCAGTGGCCTCTCCCTCGGGTGAGTTATATCTCTCTGCCCTAATTACAAATTCTTTACTGATGTTGTCTCTAGGAGGATTCAGTTGACCCGCTGCTCTTCTGCGATGAATTTATCGGCTCGACTGGACCCCAGGTGAGGGGCTGGGCGCCCGACGGAACTCCTGCCATGTACCGCTAGCTGTATCTTCCCGCATAGAGAACTCCAATGCTGTACAACACTAATAGCCTGCTGCCTGTCTTACATGTACCAGAGCCCGAATATACAATTTCTCACTATTCTCTGGGCTGGAGCCCAAGGAGTACATCCGGCCTTCCCGCGCCGCGGGCTTTGATGGCGTCCCAGGAGTCGGCAGAGGGAGGTAGAGCTTGCAGCTGTATTAGACGTAATAAGGTAACTCGACGACGATGTGAATGCCCCACTACAAGACACGCACGATACACTAGACCTCCTCGAGGTATCCTTGCACGATCAGGTGCTCTATATCGGCTCGGCGCACCATAAATCGCTGACCCTTCTTGAAGTCGATCGTCCCAAGCTCCGTCTGTATGACCCCGCAATCCCGCACTACCCGTACGAGCACATGTAGGTCCTTTGGCGGCTGTGTGATGCCCGCAGTAATGTCAAGCTCGTCGGAGAACTCGCTGCGGAAGTCCATGACGGCGGAGTTGTACTGTTTCAGGAAATCCACTTCGTGAGGTGACAGCTTCCCGCGTATGTCCTGGTCGGAAAGCAGATGAGGCAGGGCTCCGCCGACGGCCCAGTACATGTCTCGCAGTCTGTCAATCCGATGCGAGTGGTAGGCGAGGAGACAGCGTTTGTTGCGGAGGATAGCGGTTTGGTAAATGAGGAGGGATGGGTTGGCCCCGTCGAACTCCGGGTCTGCGAGATTTTCGAGTGTGGATGCGATCATCTGTTCCAGTTGTCGCTGCTCCCGGATAATGGAGCGTATGAGGGGATCGTTGTACTTCAGTAATGTGTCCGTTGCCGTCGATCGCCGCGACTCTGTTACAAGCTGTGTTGCAAGGTCCCCGAACTGTCGAGTTTCCGTCATTTTGCAAGAATATGGCTGATCACGATGGACAATATATGATACTTTGAGGCATCAATAGAACTCAGAGAGAGTAATGGTAATGGGCTCCCAGCTTGCGGGACAGGCAGACGGTAAGCCGGAAAGGGTAAAGGAAGACGCGTACCGATAATGAGACGCGGTGTTACGGGACGCGTTGGTAACGGTCACACTTCCCTGCGAGGAATGGGTCTTTACTAGACGACTGCCGTCGAGAATGGTCCTGACTAGCAGTCATGAAGAAGAGGAGGCCCAGCGTATGAGTGGTGATATATTTGTCATTACAGGACGTCGATGCAGATAGCGACATATGCTCTACTGTAGGGTATTACAGAGTTGGGATTCAATACTACCGGTACCGCGAGATAACATCCAGTACAGGGGTTCGACCTGTTTTACGAGCAGTGATCGAAAGTCTCGTTACGACCGCTTTCTTTCGCTCAAGGAGGATGTACGGGGCTGTGAACCCTCACAAGCTGCGCCAGCACCTACACCTGGCTTCGGTGCGCTATCACTGCCTCCCAGACCCAATTTGCCCAGAGCCGCTCGAAGCATGTCGTACGCGGAAAGATGCGGTGCTGGGTGGATAGAGTTGATGGTGTGCGTGCTGACAAGGCCTGAGGTGGGCGAGAAGGTATACGTCGATGCGCTGGACGGGAAAATGGCCGTGAGCAATCCAGCAATCGAGAAGAAAGCAAAGAGACTTACATATCCCATTCACCAGTTGCTCCGCTGACCCTGTTGATCCCAGACACGCCCAACCGCACGAACATGCTCTTCTGCCTCCTATGCAGACTGTCTCGTGGGTTTGCACTCTCAGATCCGGGCGATACCTGTCCGAAGGAAGGGGAGTCGTTCGAGCGCGAGGCAGAAGATTGCACGGTAACTTTGCGCAGCTCGACGGACAAGTCTGTGTAGAGCGCTTTCATTGTGTGGCGCAGGAAGACGGAAGACGCCATGTATAGCGGGAGACCTAGTTACATACAACTCAGGACCCGCGCTCTTTGCTGGAGAATAAGATTGGAGACATACCTTCTAGGTGCCATGTCCGAGGAAAAGGAGGGGGCAGCGCGGTAGGTGGGGTGTAGGACAGGATGACCTTGGGGCTGTATATCTCCTCAACATCATCCCGCCCCGGTATCTTCCCTCCCCTCTTCAGTATGTTCCCGTCGTTCATAGCAGGCCCTTGGCTGCGGTCCACAGCTGCGACCAGCCCAATCTCGAAGAAATCCGGCAGGGTCTGCTGCAGCACGTAGATAGCTCGACCTGTGTGGGTTGGAGGGATTCCGAAACGAGCATGTCAGACTGAGAGTAGTATCAGAGAACCTTCTTCTCTGGGATATGGAGGCAAGGACGTACCTGTACGGATTTCCCATTCCTGGTCCGACATCGACCGCCCTTCGGGCTCATCTTGAGGTCGTGGTGCTTCACCATTGCTGCTGTACAGAGAATCTCTCCCGACTGGTATACCCGGAGTTCCATGCTCAAGCGACCGAGAACTGGAGGCGACGTCCATGTGCACCAACCGCCTCAAATGTTGAACGGTGGATGGAGGTTTCCGTCTCGCGTATCGGAGGAGCTGGCATCGTACCCTTGCGTTCATCGTGACAGGCAAGCAAGCAGAACAGATTGGCGGTGCAGAGAAAGGGTAGGCGCGAGCTTACTGCGCTGAGGTCGTTGCTGGAGTTGAGTATACGTTGCGGCTCATTCCAGAATTGTCCATCACGGATCCGGAGATGAAGATGGTCTTCAGACAGGCCGAGCCGCCGCAGGGACACATTATTCCTTATGCAAGAATGTATACGCACTCAGCTCTGACCGCTTCATTTGCGCCAGACTTGGTGTAGAAATTGACGATAAACGGAGGACACTCAAAAGTTAACAAGGAGCAATGAATATGCGGAGGAACTCGAGTGACGGAGAGAACGCTTTAGCAACGCAGGGGCAATAAGCCAAGAGTATCCTTCCATTACAATTCCACGATCCGGGTATAAAGGGGTAATAGCAATGTGCGATCTAAGCGAGAAGAGGAACATTAACCATACACCCGCTACGACCTCTCTTTAGATCCTAAGTGCACACGAAAGGGTTTGAAATGCAAGGGCGGAGGTTGAGCGCGACACTTAAAGGTCTTCGCACCACGGGAGGTCCTCATCGTCAATGTCATCAGTGGGGGCGGCCTCGACAGCGGCAGCAGTCGCAGTAGCGGGGATGCTCGCTCCGTGCAGAACAGCTCCGGAGGGGGCAGCGGGAGCCTGGACGGTGGGAGCTACGCAAAGGACCTGCAGAACGACGATCGTCAGAGAGAAGCGTTGAAGGCAAACTAGGCGCCTTGCTGCATACCTCTCCGATGTACAAGTTAGAACAAGCCTCGTCGAGCTGGGGATTGTTCGCGAGGAGGATGGTTGAGTTCATCCCATGGGCCGCCTGGACGGCATCGCATGAGTCATCCGGCTGCACGACATAGGTCGTGGTGCAGTCCTCGCCGGGGTAGCCCAGGCAGAGGGTGTCGCCCGGGTTGAGGTTGGAGCAGGTAGCGTCGATCTTGTCAGTGTTCACAGCCGCAAGCTGGTAGCTGAATAGAAATGAGTCTGCGGGTGTAGGGGATAGAACGACGGAGAAGCACTTACGTAGAGACGTTCTGAGCGGCCGAGATGGAATCACAGATGTCTCCCTCCTGAATGGTGTAGCTCCGAGCGCAATCGGCAGCCATGACTGCTATCTTCGTCAATACGCACTCTAGGAGCGCATTTTTTCCTGGCAACTCACCCTGGGCAGCGAACGGGAGCACGGCGATGAGAGCGACGACGGTCTGGGAGAACATGATTTCACGAAAGCGAGCGAAATAAGAAACGAATGTGGTTTCAACGACAGACGGAGAATAGACACAAATGTGCTGCTCGTCGACTAGGAGGGAGGCAGCAAAAGTGAGGGTATGTGGGAGAGAGCGGTATGTACTTGAGGCACACTGGAAGAATGATTGACCTTGGCGAGCTCGGCTGTGGCGCCAGCCTATGTTGTTCTTCTGGAATCATGAGGGACGTCGACCCCGTTTCCTTGACGATATGATATCTTGGGCATCGCGCCCAGAATGTATCCTTTGTCGGTCGCCCCATCGAGACAGGGGACAAGGTCAACCGTAATTTCTGCACTTTGCAGTTTTGGACGATGCTGACGAAACTTGGACAGCTTTAAATCTCTTTTAATTCTGCTACAATTGCAACGGAGGTCATTGAACTCGCTCTGCAGCTCACATGCTCTATAGCTACACGCCCGTCCGGCGTCGACCTTGGAATAAGACCGGCGGGGATACCCGGTGGCGATGTGACTTAGGTCTCGGTTGACCCCCTCTCGGGACCTATCCAGACCAAAATCGACACTAAATAGGTCGTCGCTCGACCGGGACCTCATACGATATTGACGGCTGACATCACAGAGATCCCCTTTGCCCGTTGTGCAACTGGTATTCTACCAAGGTCTATAAGACATATGTCTAGAGGTCATGGTGATTTTTGTATCATGTCGCGATTGTCTCGTTATTGTAATGTAGTGCAGTGATACAATGATATGATTATTGTTATATCTAACATTGGTACATAGATAGTAGAGATATCAGATTAAACATCGAATAGAGGACAGCCAGTCCCCAGGGTTGTCGTCTGCACCGCCTGCAACACTCACCCTGTATCACATGAGCACCATTTACCGCAGAGGGCATGGCGCACATGTGCCGGCGGTCCTCCGCGTGCGAGGACGCGACGCGGCGGCCCATGTCATACATTGCGGGGAGCTCCTACAGGATGCTCTCCCTCCCAGCCTGTTTCTCTCGATGAGCTGCAGCCTGAGGCCAATCCCATCCATCATCCGCCTCGCCTCCACAACAAGTCTGCGGCATTCCGTGGCACAGTCACTAGGGATCGCAAATACAGTTATCCAAGATGGTGAAAGCTAATACAATTTTTATGTACAGGATCTGGTTCAGCATGAACAGGCGGTCTGGGTTCCAGCTCGCCTGGAAGATGGTGGCAAATGCACGGCTGACCTCATTCAGCATTCAGTCGGGGAGCGGCATTTTGAAGTCGTAGCTCTTGAGGATGATGCGGGCACTGCACAGGAAGAGGGGGTGATAGATCATGTTGTCGAAGTCAGTTGATGTGAGAGACCTGCCGTTGCAGGGTGGTCCTCGATGGCACCACCTACATACTATAACAGACAATTGAAGTCAGTATCATCTCTGTCATCGCAGAGAGGATGATACCTTTACTGCCTTTGTGCATCTGAAACCTTGAGGCACAATACACGCTGTCAGAGTTTGCTGCACTTCAGACTGTGTTTGTCTCGGCAGACAGCTAACTACGTACCTCATTGCGAGAAGACGGCAGAGCATTGTTCTGGCGAAGGACGATTGACGAAGAGAGAAGGACACGAACAGCAAGGTTGAAGTTGAACGTTGACTTCGAGTCGGAACTTGAAAACGTCTCACTCAACACCCGCTCACGTGAGCACCAGCTTCGTGTGCCGAAGTCAGACTTCAAGCTTCAAGCTTCAAGCTTCAAGTCAAGCGTCTGGCTGTGCACCCTAGGCCTGTTTCCCGGATCGCAAAGCTAATGCTATGATATAGTGCACCGAAGGGATTGAGAACATATGCAATTGAAACCCACAAAAGGCGTGCAAAATGAATATATGCACTTCATATTTCAGAATCACAAATATGGTCGCTGTACTAGTACATACAGGCAACAGGTCATGTAGGTATCCAGGATCCGATACCGCCGACCTCCCGACCTGATACCTGAGGCATATCTAGAGGATGTCCCTCCAACCTTGGGATTGCAGGCTCGGAACAATCCCTACTGGACAGCCACTTGAGATCCGACACCGAGAGCATTCCAGCTTCGGCCGGCAGACCCCGTCGACCTGAGCGCCGATTGGGCGTGTACCGGACCTGCTCTACGCATGGCAGTCTGGGATAAGCCAAGTGTACTTGTGTAAATATGCGTGGCTTTTCCCAAACTTTCTGCGGCATCGCACTATGGACTATCAAGTGTGTCGCAGGGACGAAGGATCGACCTGGCCGCTGGGGCGCTTGCGAGATCCCGTTGATTTCAACAAGCCAAACAGGCGCCCTCTTCGCTGATCTCCGTTACTTTGCCCTATATACTTCAACGTGGCTGTAATTATGAGCGCTCATCACGCAGGTCAAGGTTGAAGGTACGCTTTTCGGTTCATGACCCTGGGACCGTTGATGTATTGGAAGCAGAGCGCATGTAATCATTAGAGCTGCGGATGAAGCCTCTCTACTGACCCTCCCGCAACTCTGGCTCCACTGACAATGCGGCCAGTGCTCATCCTCTTCCTGAAGCGCTGGGCCCTGTGGATCAAAGCACTTTCAGGTCGCGTGCTGCTGAAAGTCTTGGGGTGGCTGAGACCATTGCTTCAAGGTTTCGGCAATGGGCGCCGCGGAAATGGGGAAAGCAAAAGGAGGCATGAAAGTGATCCCACTGACTCACCCAGGGCGCATGACTATGAAGGGGATACGCCATTGTACGAGCAAAACGTAGAGCTCGCTCAACTTGAGTTTACCGACGCCCAATTGGAACAAGCGCGTTCATTGCAGGTCTGTCCAAGCGGGTACGCTTCGTGCAGCGCTGTGCCTCCCAACTTGCCTTCATCGCCTCGTGATTCATCTGCGCCTATGGCTTCTTTGTCGGACAAGGACCATGTCACGTCTTCCGGTACTCTAGCCGACATGCCACTGGACGATTCGCATGCTCAGAAGGAGACGTACGTAACCACGGGCAATCTTGCGTAACAGTAATGAGGGTTGAGACAAGGTGTATCTTGCTTGTGCCTCCAGGTTGCCACCGCATATTGGGCTCGTACGCACGAAGCCTGAATTCGTGACCGCTATAAGCACATCCAGGATCGCGCGATACAACCGCGGAGACAAGATGTATAAGAGATATCTCATCTATCCGCAGCTGTATCATCTCATAGGTGTCACAGACGTCCAAGGACCGAGGCCTACGACTTCAGAATACCAGTAAATAAGCCACAAGGCGTACAGTAAGGACCCTGATTTAAATCGCTTTGCTCGACATTCTGACATGATGGGTGCTCAGAGCGGCCACGGATGCCATACCTGGAGGATGGAAGGCGTACGTTCATCCGGAGGGTGCTCTGTACTTCTTTCATGCAGATCAGGTACTAATGTACGTCTTTCAACTGGCCATTTGCTGACATCCCTACAGAGAATTTTCACAGAAGCAGACGTTCGCGACTCCGACATTCGCTCGTTCATTGATTCCTGTGTATGTGAGATCAAGTCCGTGCTAGAAGTAAGCGGCTTGGAACGCATCCCGGGCAGTGAATTGGCACTTGAAGTCCTGGAAGAACCTGACGCAGATGGGAACGTGCACAGGACGTGCGGATACTATTTCGTCGACGTCTCTCTCAGATCCTTGTTCTGGCTGGAGGAGTACGACGCGGCCTCCATGCTGGTGGAAATCGAAGGCGAAACTTCCGAGGACCATATCCGTGAGCTTACTCACGCGGGATTGATACATTGTGTTGAGAGCATTTGGGCAGGTTCGGAGCTGGAAGCGCGCTTTTGGTATGAGTTATCTGCCTACAGGTATGCTTTGGCAAGTTCTACAAACTCTTGCCAGGTTCTGATGCCGCTTTACATTAGCTCAGTGACCCGCTCATCCCAGTAGGAGCCACTGTGAATTCTTTCCTGAGCCCCGGGACGTTCCGGACGAATATGTCAAGGAATTGATGGCTATCTTGGTTCATGCTAGCATAGGTGAGCATGTCGCATCCTGTGCGCCTCTAGGACTAGGGTAGACCTACCTTCATAGATGGAATCACTTCTTCTGCGTCCACATACCCCTACAATTACGAAGATACGCTCAAAATGATGGACGTGATTGAACGCCTTGGATGTAAGTGTGAGCTCGAGAATCTCTCAGCGGCGTCACCGTCGGTGGCTTATCTATCTGATATCATCGTTGTGTAGTTGCGGGTGTCGTCAAAGGTTACTCGGCATGCGTCGTCAGTGAGTAGACAGTCACCAGTGTAATATATGCATCCTCAACCTAAGCCACATGCGCCTTAGGCAGGCTCATGGCAGTGTTCGGTATGCCTCATGTCCTACCCTGGTCTCTCTGCATATGAATAATCACTTCCATTTTGATAGCACATGCCAGATTTTTGGATTATCACGGGCAGCGCGGCGCACGCCTAGCACGAAACCAGAGCATCTATGACTATGAAACTACAGTGGAGCACTCTCGATCGTTTGTCCTGCTTTCCTACGTTCTCCTCTACACCCCCACTAGGTATCTATACATGCTGGAGAAGATGTGGGTCGACAAGGTCGTGAGCTTGTCCTCCTGGACTCGTTTCAACGAGCAGCTGCAGCAGGAATGGAGTAACCTCTTATTGACGGTCCGTGTTTCACTGTTTGGAGTCTCGTTTATAATGACATTGGGGGTTCAACAGAGCACAGTAATGTTAACGGTGGATATCTCGTTCTTGGCTATCCAGAGCGTGGACGTCGGCTCTGCAGATGCCCCTCTACGGTGTGCAGCGCAGCTCGTGATTTACATATCCACGCTCGCGAGTGCGGGAAGTATCATCCTTAGCCTGCTACTTCTGCGACAAGTGATCGTTTCACGAGGGGAGAGCGAGATGGAGGTCAGTTCATCCATATACGCCACTTTTCACACCCGACCGCGAAGTGAACCGTCACCGTATACTAGGAACAATACGTGTATCAGCTTCTCTCATCGCACTCTGGCCTGGAGACGCTTTCGATTATGTACAGCGTCCCTTTCGGTCTTCTACTCTGGTCGTACGTTTCGACTATCTTCTCGAACACGACAGAACCGCTCACTGTCACTCATGGCTTACAGCATGGCATCGTTCCTCCTTGCTTTCGCATTTCTGTGCTTCTCCTTTGATTCGACCTTCGCCGGGAACAGTTTGGCCGTGCGACTGCCCATTGCAGCGATGTGGATTCTTGTCTTATCGCCGCTCATCTGGTATTTCTTTGCGATGGGAACGCTAGCAGAGGCATGGCAGTGGCCTTGGGGCCTGATCAAGAACGCCCTGAGTGGCTTGCGGAAAGAGAGGCTCCTCGCGCGCCGTACGGACGTAAATACTCGAGGCCCGGACGTGTAGCACCCGACCTGTCGCTAGTCGTATGTTGGTCATCATAAATTAACGATGCAGTGGTGTTTGACATAATTCCGATCGATATCCACACCATATGCGTATGGTGACGCGTAGGTGGGCGTCCTGCTGGTCAAGCGAATCTATATATTTCCACGCAAGACGGCTCAAGCGCATTTGCCAGCAAGCATCCTTGTCGGCGTGATATTCCGTGTAAAGATATCCACACTCAACGGTCCTTTTTGTACCCGGAGACTCCGCAATCCACACACTTGTGAAGGCTCGTAGACGAGTATTATTAAAAAAATCAAGGCTCCTTCCCTATGCAGGTGCCCTCCTTGGACCTTCACCGGTCCTATCATCGATTGTCGCGATGCTGGGGAGGCTCGGCCGTCGCGGTCTTTGGCCGTCCTCAGGCTCGTGCGCTATTTGCTCTGGCTGTCTGACCCACGCGTTGAAGTCCGCGATCAGGTGTGGATAGCCTGCCAGATGATAGGCGACTCTGCTGAGCAAGTTACGTTGATCTATCCTGGAGGACATTTATATGTGCAAAGCCACATGCAGTCAGCAATGTTATAACGCACACACACTAACACTAGAGGGACCTAACTCACTCTCCGGCGACGTAAGATATCAGCGCCCTGTTGATGCTATCCCAGACCCACCACTTGTCTCTGAGCTCGCGCCGTATGTGACACACGAATACCCTTGCGTTGTTCAGGGAATTAGTACTGCCAGGCCGGGAGTCCTGGAGTGGTCTAAGTTCTTCACTGAATTGATATCTGGGTTGGACGTGAGAATGAAGATGTATCTCTGACATGCGAGGATAGTACTCAGGTAACTCGAATTCGAGTGCCATGCCCTCCGCTGGGTCTGGCAGAGGGAGGGGTGAATCTGACCGGGGGAAATAAGCCATCTATTGGGTGAAAGGTTTTGAGCGGGCGGAAGCTGTGGATTGAGCGACGGCCACCGTGCCACACGATATATAACCGGCCCCGGGGCCGGTACGTCACAGTGCAGCCTGAAGATGGCCGTCTCCTTTGTTCTCCATGCCTAAGGAGGTCATGGACGTCACATGCAACAAAGAATGTGCAAGATGTTAGGGGCCGTGTCAACGTGTTTCAGGCCCTTTTCAATACTTTATGCTGTAACATTCGCAATCTTGGACGGTGGCTATTGAGCCCTTACTGCGGGACCGAGGGTCACGCTGAAGGGGGGATCGTACGTGGCTGGCGCTGTCATGTGCGACTCCCTCCTTTAGCGTGACCCTCGTCGGGTGAAACCATAGGTACATCTAAACGTCTGGCGGAATCTCGTGGAGGACTTCAACATGCATATGTCTCAAGAAAAATGAGAGTGAAGGTACTCACAGCACAACGTGAGAAGGGTTCTTATATTCCAATTCTCCCTTGTTCCAGGGAACGAGTGGTCTGTTCTTGAAAGTCTCCACGATGCCTGCCGGTGCTTGGATCAGCACTCAGATAACAACGATAGGTCCGGCTACCATAATGGCACCTTTGCATGAACCGGCGCATTGCAATTGGTGGCTGAGACAAAGTGGAATTATCTAAGCTTCATCTGAGCCGACTCACCGACTCGCGCACCGTCACGCCTTGACTCCTCCACTATGGCCGCCCGCGTCCCCCTTGTCCCATTTCGGAGAGCATTCAGTCATTCAGGGCCAATCTTGCACGAAAATCCTCTAGTGAGTCTGCACCTTTGACCTGATCCAAACAGAGGACTCAGCAGAAATGGCCCCGTAACGCACAAGGAAGGGTCTCCCGCAACGTAATGCAAGGCCCGCACCGCAGCTACCAAGAAGGGGAGGCCCAATTGCGAAAAGAGGGATACCGAATGTTAAGAAGGTGGTCGCCGTTGCGAGTGGCAAGGGAGGAGTAGGGAAGAGCACTGTCGCAGGCACGCACCCATTTCTTATGTGTATTCTGTCGTTTGGACTGATACGTATATCGCGTATCATGCGGATGTTACAGTCAACCTGGCTTTCGCACTCGCACTTCATCGGACACGCCCGCGAGTAGGTATCCTAGACTTGGACATATTCGGCCCTTCCGTCCCAAAACTCATGGGCCTCGACGACGCGTCCGAGCCGCATCTCACATCTTGTCCGTCCTTCAAGTTCTCTCGCTCGTATACCCGCACCCCATACTAAGCCTATCCTGCTCAAGCCGGTGCTATTCTTCCCTTGACGAACCACTCCCTTCCATGTATGTCCATGGGCTTCCTCCTCCCCCAAACCTCCTCTTCAAGCGAAGACACCCCCGTCGTCTGGCGCGGGCTCATGGTCCAGAAGGCCGTGCAGCAACTCCTGTTCGACGTCGACTGGAGACAGGGCGAGGGTTTGGACGTGCTGGTGGTCGATATGCCGCCCGGCACGGGCGATGTCCCGCTCACTCTCGGGCAGTTGGTTGTCGTTGATGGTAGGTTATGTGAAGTGAGTAGACGCTGCGGTCATTGAAAGCGTGAATAGGTGCGGTGATTGTTTCTACACCGCAATCCGTGTCCCTGTCCGATGTGCGGAAGGGGATAGCGATGTTTCGCAAAGTGGATGTCCCGGTGCGTCCCCGTTACCGCCCCGCCTTTGGAACCTTCGAGACATAGTCTGACAACTTCGTCTCGCTGGCATCCTCTGACGCGAAACACTCTACGTGACCCATGTTTTCCCCGTGATCCCCCTACACGCAGATAACAGGCCTGATCCTCAATCAATCCTACTACAAGTGTACCTCGTGCTCGAGCCCACAATATTTATTCGGCCCGCCAGATCGCTTCCTCGAAGTCGCTCAGCACTTGGGCGTGCGCGTCCTGGGTGGGTAGCCGGTTCCTCGGTGGATCGCCAGTCATCTGATTGTCCCTTCCTCAGGTCAACTGCCCCTCATACCAGATGTCAGCGTGAAGAGCGATGCGGGTGTGCCATACATGCTCGCGGGCAAGGCTGACGAGGATGAATGGAGGGGTGTCATGAGTGGCGTCGCCGATGCCGTGCTGGAGGCTGTTGGCTTGCCGTCGTAATCTGCAACGTAAAGACGATTCCTCACCGCCTCGAGGCTCAGTTAGGCAGCGAAATACCATCAGATTCATGATAAAGAGATACAGCGGCTGGATACTACACTCAAAGATAGCAAGCAAAGCAACTCGGCAGAAAAGTCGCCAATGGGTGGTAATACAACAAAACACGATGAGACGCAGGTCCGACAGGCGAAAAACCCAGAGCAAACAAGAAACCATCTAACTCGTGTCCATCTATATCATCTCAGGCGTGCTACCAAGGCCTTCGAATGGGATTTATTGTTGAGATCAGCTCATGGCCTGGAGAGGCTCGTCGCTTACCCAAATTTTTGTCCCTCCGCCAACGTCCTCAGCGCCGTCTGGTTGTAATCAGCGGTGTGCCGGAAGACGGTGTTGCCCCACCATGCTTGGACAGTGTGTAAGCCGATGGTCCCGTTTTTGGGATATTGTAACCTCCAGGGCCGTATTGTCGGTCTCGAGTCAACAGCAGCGATGAATATGTAAGTACTTACAGGAAGAATATCAATATCGTCGAGATGGCAGTACCGGCATCAAGTGCGGCAGATAAGACGTCTGGCAGGGTGGGGTTAGTTCCCGATCACGAGAATGTAGGAGCAGTATCGTGCGTACAGTTATATTTCGCCCAGAAGGAAAAGTGTCGCCTTCGAATGACGTATTGGAAGATGAAGCCGATGATAACCCACGGGACGTAGTTTGCTGCTGTGGCAGGGGGCATGAGGCCCACGCCAGCAAAGATGAGCCTGCGTGATCCCGAGTCAGGAGGATTCGGACGGGTTCAGAAACCTGATGCCTACGGGAAGCTTGAGAATATGTCAGATACGGCGCAGATGCCCTCAGCGGAGGAGTACGTACTTGGCATAGTTCAAGAAGGTATCCGGGTAACGCCTAGTTATCCACCATACAATGACCGGGCAGCATGCTCCAATGAGGAAGAAGAAGGTCAAGGCTATGATAACAGGGGTTACGGGTGGTCATATGGACGAGTTATGACATTCGCTCACCGCTAACACAATAGTCAGCTACGTGTTCACAACAGCAATTTACGCACTCACTAGTATATCTGACCCTTTGCGAACTGTAGTGCAGGGCCAATCGCTCCCCACTAAGCGATCATCAGATGGCTCGTGAAAAAGTGCTTGACATGTACGCACTACAACTGACGCTACGCCGAAGACTTCCGTTCCCGCGCAAGTAAAGCTGACAGCGCTGTGTCAAACACGGCCCCCACTAGGGAGCGCAATACGTACCTGTCTTTGTTGTGAGGAGAGCACATATCGCTGGTAATGGTTGTTAAAGGCAAACTCTGGCTTCTAACAGAGAACTTACGGTATATTAGCAAACATCCTGAGAAGGCGTCAGCATGCGTCGCAAATATCAAGACATAGGAACCGACCATGTCTGTACACCTAGTTGTACGGTCCCGGCTATAATCGTACTGACGACCTTTGCAGCCAACAATTATATACCGATCGGGACATATACCTAGAAAACAGTACATACTTGCCCCCAGAACATGGGCCGAGGAGGAACCTTCATGTAGTGGCCGAGCTTGAAATCCGCCGTGAATGCCATAGCTACAAATAAACCGTTGGCGTCCATCCTAGCGAAAACGTCGTGGATACTTGCCTTGAGACATAGTGATGTAGCCCCAGGTCTGAAACACCAAAGTCAACGTGGTTCGCCAAGAAGGACTGTATTACTCTCAACGTGCCTTGAACCTGTTCGAGGATTAACACGGTGAGAGAGACTATTCGAAGGAGGGACGCACATCATTAGAGCCAAAGGACGCCCAGGCATCATGAAACCGGCTAGTAGCTCGGATATAACGCTGACCATCGCATTTAGCACCTTATGAAGTGGTATCAAACAAGTTATCTCACTTCAGGCCGACTTGCCGATTCGTGATGGCTTGAATCATCCCTAGTCCAGAGTGAACAATCGCACTACCGAGGCAGCCGACGATGACTGACCGACAGGAACAACGTAGACCACGGCTATAAGAGCAGCCGTAGTCAGGAGAAGAATATTTACGAGACCAGGAAAACATTACCCAGTATCAGCGCGACGCAGAAGGCCCATATGGTCATACCAGTGGGCCAGAGCTCGATGCAAAGGCATCCAAAAGCAAACGTAACAACTGGAGATTCCACTTAGTACATACAAGGATGCACTAACCCGATGGTGCACCTCACCGAAGATACACGAATACCACCACTCTGGCACTGTCGGTGGATAGTTTCAGTAGAAGGGAGTTTGGTGAATATGCTAAAGTCGCACCTGACGGATAACTTGCCATTAGACGAGCATGCACGTCCGGTTGTTCCTGCAGCGACCGCTTGAACTGGGTTTTGATAGGCTTCCAGAAGTACAGGATGGCGTGCGTTATCGTAGCAGTGATTGACGCAAAGGACAAGCCGTATGCTACGGCGAAAGTCGCACTGCAGCAAGGTAAGAAGACATGAGGGGTCGCAACCTGTGACACGCACGATAGGTACAATGGACTGTATGCTTTGTACGCTTCCAGGTCGAAGGTGGAATCGTCTTTGATAATTCGCGTAGTATTATAGTAGTTTCCTGTGTTGTCAAAGGCGGCACGAGATGACATGCTGGAGATCCACAGTGAGTCCTACACAGTAGGAGATACACCGCGTATACATACGGCAAGTATTGTGAATTCCAGGCGTTGGCGTACTAGATTCATATCGGTAGTGGTTCGGATTCGGAAATATGAGACGTACGTATAGAATAGGTGTCAGTATCCCTATGCAACTGGTTAGCGACTGAGGTTCCCTATAAACTGGCACATACAATAGAAGAACACGAAGCCAACAGCGACGTTGGCTTCGGCCCACCCTATATCACATGTTACTAAGGCGCCGGGAAAGTGTTGTTAGTGCACGTACAGGGGGTTGCCAATCTTCAAGGGCTGTCAGCACAATAGAATATACAGACAAGCGTATCTAGTGCTTACGGGCTACCGATATATGCAATCTGATTCCAATCAAATGAGATTAGGGAGAAACCCAATCCGCTGTAGTAGCTAAGGGGGTCGGTTAGTACCAGGTAACCCCAAGAAGCAAGTAAGTATACCCAAACAACTGATTGATTTTCTTCCGTGGGCATCCGCGCCAGTGAGTTTGAGCCAAGAGATATATCACGAAACTACTGACCACATTTCTGGGAGCTATCCAGCAAACCTATATGCAATTCAAGACATGGATACTCTGAAGATATGGAATGACATACCCAGTCAAAAACGCTAAAGAAAACGAAACATGAATTCTGTGGTTCCAGAATTATGACTATGCTAGACGACCAACCTGAGCGCCTGGAATAAATAGCCGGGCATAAAGTCTTGGAGATATTCAGGTCATCAAAGCGAGTCAAGAATGTGATGCACTTACACCAGACGGCCGCCCCGAAGAATGCGTAGCAAAAGAAACGTTCCCTCGAAATGCCATCACGAGTCCCGTACCCGGCATATCTTTGCGAATGCAGCGTGTTGAAGAGCGCGCACAATACCAGGGTATTTGGCCAGACTGTGCATATTGAGCGGGTAAACCTTGGGGTTCGACGTCCTAACTCACTCATAGATGCTGGGGTCACCAGAAACCGACGAGCGATTCCACCAATAGAGAAGCCAATTAATTGTGTCGACATTACCAACATCCCTGCGGCATATCATAAACCTCACGCTCAGTCCCCCGCGTGATTACTCACATTGATCTTTTGAATAGGTCAGAACTAAGATATCTCAGACAAGCGGAACCAGCGTACACATGAAACTGAATTGTTGATGATACATTACTCGTTGAACGGCAATAACGTCGGTCTGGGCAGTCTAAGAACTCGCCGATGACTAACAGAAGACGGTGCTTACCGCGTATGCTGAAGGCGCCCCGACGTTGGCCATGATCGTAACCAAGACCTGAGCATGATAGGTAGGGATTCAGTTAGCAGAGCCATGTAGTCCACTCACATGTTCCTTGATCGTGAAGGGTCCAGGATTCACTGATATCCCAAACACGGTCACTCTGGGCATGAATCTATCCCATAGTCGGCCCAAGGGAAATGTGAGTAGTTGAGCGACAAGCTAAAATGTATTGAGTACGTCCTATTGACCAAGGGATCCGTGGGAGACTTACGCCGCCAACTGCAATTGAGGGGTAACGGAAGTAGTAGAACTGGTTCACGCCGGGAAGAATGATTGCCCAGACTAGCCCGAGGACCCATGCTCGTAGGGTAGACGCCGGCATCGAAGGGTCGTCAAAGTTAGCCACAGCTGATCGAACCTCTGGGTACGGGGAATCATCCTCTGATGATGATCCCCTAGGCGTAAGGATCCCGGCCGGACTCATAACAACGAATGGACGCCACTCACCGAGAGTATCCGAGTCATGCGGGATATTGGGGTCATAAAGGTCTGGTACAGGGGTAATCTACGGCAGTGGCGGGTTAGCTGAGCCACATTGACGTTGGAAATACCCACTTGACTCTCTGCAGGTGGTTCACAATGAGTCCCCTGGTTCGATAAGCAAGACTGGACTTACGATAGGACTTCTCTGGATCACGGATGCTGTACTCCAGGGATACTCTGATGCGTCGATCTTCTGACACAATTGAAGTCATTTCATGCTCTCCCAGTACTTCAACCAATTGCAGAGAACACTTGAGAGCGTTATGAATATCCTGTGCGTCTGCCTACTGCCGCGCAACTTGGAAGGTAGTCTGGGGCAAACGTATGACACGTCAACGAAATGGTTGAAGGAAATTCTACCTATCAGCACCGCTCATTAATTTCATGCATAAAGCGCTAGAGAGGCTTACCAGGTGCAGAGTAGGTTCCGGCGCAAGTGACAGACTTCAACGGAGCGTTCCTCCTAACCTTAACGGCGGTCCTGTTCGATACGTGGAGTGGTTGCCCTCCTACCACCGCGCGTCGTTCGATGTAAAGCTATCGCTGCTGGACGCAAAGCACTGCATCGGAGCGTATCGTCAGCGTTATCAACGCCCGGAAAGGACCATGAGAATCAGCCGGTTCCGGGGGAAATTACGGCTTGACATGGAATTCGCCTCCGCTGAGATTGCACAGCTCTCGGGATCATTTCTGGACTAGTTTTCGGTTTCTCTAAGTATATGGCTCACATCTCCGGATCCCATCCGAACTATTCATGTATCCTGTCTAGCCTTCTGGGCAGACTGTCCTCCTCCTAGACAATACCTCGAGCGCGCATCCGCATCCCCCATACTCGCCGGTATCTCTGTGCGATGCCTCCATTGCGGGTGGCCCAAAGTACCCCATCCCGCACGTCAATGAACCTGGATTCACGCTCGAGATCCGAACTCGCAAGCGGTGCTCAAGATAGTTCGCCATCCGCTGCTCGAAGCTCGTGATTCTTGTCGATGCCGCGCTCCCTCCGCGCACCTCGTCATCTGAGAAGAAATAATCGGGATCATACCCATCGTCGCCATGACCGTGATGCCCAAATAGTTTACTCGGAGGCCAGCTTAATTAAACCCTCAAGGTAGCTCCTTACCGTATTTCGGGGGGATACCGTCTCGGAGCGCCCGACCACTTCGGTGTTACCAACGATACGACTGACATACCAATATACTTAGCTGTAAAGATGAGATAGGGCGGCTTCATCGCACTTTCGTCTCATATGGAAAGGCGCGCTTCACAGGGCTTCAGCAATGAGCGTTGGACCAAATCAGTCACCTATGGAAACGTGAAGGGTTGCGCAAGGGTCATTTCAAGCCGTATTCTGAGTGATGCTCGCTGATCGAGGACTCGTACTACTTCCGTGACCCGCGGTGAGCGTACTGCCCAGTACGTAGTTACGAATACGTCTGAACGAGAGATGAACAGCACCAGACTCTTCCTCTGCAAACATGGGTGGCATCCTGCAGAGACGTGAATTGACAGCTACGCGGATGCCACACATGTCTACAATGGAAGAAGTTGAGAGAGTAGGATGTCAACATCGTCCCTCTAGACTGTATGTATTCTTCTCCAACTACCTCAGCTTCCAGCTCTATCCGCACTCTATATTCTCATCCGCCCTGATGACTAAGTGGTGATCGTCCAGATCCTCTATAATAAAGCTGTTCCCCTCCTTCTCATTCAGAGACAGAAGTCGGATTTGCTTAACAGCTGAATCACTGTTAGGGATGTAGTCCTCAGTTTTGAAGGCAACATTAGGCATGTCTCGGCAGTACAGGCGATGTCATAAGGACGCCTAGACATTGCGGCCGGTCTTGCGAGACTCTCTCAGCAGTCTGTAATAATTTCCCCCTTTTAATAGCCTTCATACCAAAGCCCAACTGAATCTGATACCGAATACTTCTCAAGTCTAAGTGCGAGATGCAGATGTTGTGCAGATGAACCTAAGTCAGGGTGGTTCGGCATCTGCCGTGCGTGGCTCTATGCCAATCGTGACGTGCCACATTTCCTTTCCCTCGACCGTGGCCAACTGCGGCTTTCCCAAGTTACTGCCACTATCCCACTCAGAAGACGAAGGGTATCGATGGAGACTGATGCAGATGCGTACAGAGGTTGTACTGAAACAGATCCAGGCGCATCGGATGGCGGCGAGGAATATGTGGCATCCCACGTAAGGCGCGAGATCCTGCTGCTACGGGACGACAATGAACGCATTATGGAAGAGATAAAGCAACTTGAAGGCCAGATCAGCTGGTATAAGGATAAATGCTCGTCGATGAAGCGAGAAATTGCACGTCTGACTGAGGAATTCGCAAAGCTCTCTTCGGGTGTTGTAGGTCTCTCATCCATTCTCCATCTTACTTTCAGTAACCCGACTGATTTGAGTGATAGGACGAGAGCCCAGAAGATGCGTGCACAAAGGTTCTCAGGCTACCAGAACTCCTTGAACCGATATTTGAACACGTCTTTCCGCCTAATGAGCTTCTTGACCACTCACTCTCTAGAGGTCCGAACTCGCCATGGTGTCAGGCTCTTCGCGACAAGAAATCCGTGATTCTGGTTTGTAGAACGTGGAGATCTATGGCCATACCTTTACTATACAAGAACATTGCTCTTCGTCGGTTTCCCCAATTGCGCCTATTTCTCCGGACACTCAGGAGAAGCAGCGTCTTGAACCTCCCATCCATGGTGAACAGTCTATCTATTGAAGGCTGCATCCCCCTTTGTTCCTTCTGGGAACTTGAAGAGAGTCTAAAGAACATCATTATAATGTGCCCTCGCCTCACAAAGCTCGCCTTATCCCCGGACTTCTTAGTAGCCGAGGAATTTCGGTACCTCAATTTGGCTCCGTTGCTGATAGCGCGGTCAACTCTTACGGAGTTATCTTTGGGGCGGTCGATTCCTCTATCGTTCTGCGTGCTTGATTTCTTGGGGAGCATGCCACAGCTCCAAGCGCTCAGCTTGTACGTTGGCAGCACCACCCAGGCCGAGCTTGTTTATATGGACCCAGCTTGTCTCGCGAAATTGGAACGGTTATGGCTGTACTTGACCGACGGGTGCTCTCTAGACTGCCTTGCTATGCTGCAGACACCTTCATTAATCCATCTCACTGTCGCTGGATGGGGCAGCGGACGTATGGAGGATATCATGCGGGTGAGAGGGCGTAACCTGAAGTTTCTCTCCCTGGATACATGGTCGTCGATGACCGATGATCGAGCGGCGGTCAGTCACTGTCCGGTGCTGGAACATCTTGTCGTCAACCAGAACACTACCGTGCGCAGCCACCCCAATCTCCGTTTCTTGGATATATGGCATTGTCCGGAAGAAGACGCGCCTGATTGGACACCCGAACCGGCGCTATTTTCTAACCTCGAAAGGGTCAGAATCCTTGATTGGTCTCTCAAGAACATCCCTAATCTATTGGATGTATTGCCCCCCACTCGGGATACGGACAAAGACTTGCGATTATTGCTTCCCGGAGCCGTTGTATGGGACTGTCCCACTCGTATTCTTGAAGAGGAGTACGTGCCTTCCAGAGGGATTGTTGCTACGTACCTGCCGCGGAACTTGGGTGAATTCTGCAGAACGGATGACAGAGAATCTTCGGAGCAGGATGATTTTGATGATTCTGATGACGAGTCCTACGTATACTCATCGGTCCCGACATCTCCGTGGTCATGCTCTAGCTCTGCTTCAGAGATTGTTGAAGCTCTGAAACTCTAAGCTTTTTGCGGTTGGAGATCGCGGGCACGATCACATGGTTATCTCCGCAAGTGTTATCGGGTTGGCCGATGAGGATGGTTTTCAAGAGATCCGGAGACGTTAGGTAAAACACCCATGCATTGCGTGACCGGCGCAAAGCTGAGATTTGATGACATGGCCTTGTTCTCATCGCTCCATTCTATGTCCGACTGCACATGCTAGTCTAGCTAAACTTGACCCTTCGTGCGAGTACTTGTCATACATTTTAGGTAGCCAACCTTCCTAGTTGATTGGGATATTGGACTGTACGTACCATCTCTCTGCATAATTATTTTACAATGCGACCGCTGTCCTCCCGCCGATGGATCGTGACGATCCTTGCGGTGGCGGGATCTCCGGGGTCCCACTGTGGCAGCCAATGAGCTGGGGTCCTGTCCGATGGCCACGCGCGTTTAGCCCGACTGCGCCTGTCGTCACTCAGAAGTGGACCACCGTGCTGCGGCCATCGAGCAGCTCAGTTGTGCCCTTGCTGTGCCCTGTCTTTCATTGAAACGCGCTCGTTTGGACTCTGTATAAATCTACGAGATGTCTCTAATGAATCTTACGACATACGTTATGGCGCCCGCGGACAAGGATACTGACCTTGGCTCCGGGTCAGGTTCTTCTCTGAACCCAATGTTACTTACATTCGCCGGAATATCAACGCTAGTTGCCACAGCTGTGTCCGCGATGTCCATTGTACTGCAGCTCAAGAACTATCGCAAGCCGATCCTACAACGGTTCGCGCATATCCCTTTGTTCGGTTGCAAGTTCTGCAGATGATAATGGGTTTACGGCTCTGTCGCGTCTCTCTTCTTTGCATATAGAATGGTAGTACGAATCATGCTCATGGTACCCATATACGCCATCTCGTCCCTGATATCGCTGTTTTCTCTTGGAGCGGCGTTTGTGATCGATGCTATCCGTGACATATACGAGGTGCGTGCTACATTCATGATCTGCCCGCACAAGTCATTGAGACAAGACAGGCATTCGTGATCTACTGTTTCTTCCAACTACTCGTCGCTTACCTCGGAGGAGAGCGTTCATTACTCATCATGGTACATGGGCGGCCACCGAAGGAGCCGCCATTTCCGGCGAGCCTCTTTCAGCGTGAACTTGATATCAGTGATCCATATACGTTCCTGTTTCTGAAGCGAGGTATTCTTCGTGAGTGCCCAAAACTTCCGCGCGTTCTCAGATCTTCCTGACCGTGGGTTAGAATACGTGCAAGTAAAGCCTATATTAGCCATGGCTACTTTGCTGCTCAAGTCGCTTGGGAAGTACAACGAAGGTGACCTACGTGCCGCCTCTGGATATCTGTATGTTAGCATAGTGTATAACGTCTCCATTTGCCTGGCACTATACTGCCTCGCCATGTTCTGGCTGTGCGTCTCAGACGATCTTCGCCCATTTCGGTACGCCATGAATCATTCACACCTGAGATGTGACTAGCTGACATATATGTAGACCTATGCCCAAATTCCTGTGCGTGAAAGGCGTCCTCTTCTTCTCTTTCTGGCAAACCATCGGCATCTCCATCCTTGTCGCCGGCGGTGTTATTACCAAACTAGGGCCCTACACCGACCGGGAACACATCTCCCTCGGGCTTTCTGATACACTTATCACCTTCGAGATGCCTTTGTTCGCGTTTGCGCACATGTACGCGTTCTCGTACCACGATTACATCGACCCCTACGCGGCCTACGTCGGCCGCATGCCCGTGTGGTACGCGTTCCGCGACGCGTTCGGGTTGAAGGACGTCGTCGAGGACACCAAGCGGACGCTCCGTGGAGAAGGCGTTGACTACAGGGAGTTCGAGCCGAGTGAGGGCGGGATCCACCAGGGCCTGGGGAGGGACCGGCGGATCAGAGCCGGACTCAGGTATGCAGAGGGTGGCAGGAAGAAGTATTGGCTGCCGAGGCTGGCTGAGGAGGACCACGTCGACACTGGCAGAGTGGAGAATGCGGCACGCAGGGTGGTGGAGCGGGTCGCGGGTGGACGCGCAGGGGATACGCTGCGAGGCGCGGAGGAGGAGGATTATGCACCGTTGCTTGAAGAAGAGGCTGCGAACGTGGTGCATTATGCGCCAGACCTACGAGCCCGGATGGACCGCGGACAGATCGAGCCGTTCATCTCCACGCGGCACCAGCAGGACGAAGACGGAGATGGATTCGATCTCCCGTTCGGTGAGTTGGACGATGAAGACGAGCAGCTGTTCGATATGAGCCGGCGTTATCTGTTCGGGGACTACAATTACCCGTGTATCGACGTCAGTTCTGAGACAGCGAAACTGAAGATGTGGGACGAAGAAGAGAGGATATTGAGGGATGAGCGTGGTGCATACTTCGCCAGGGTGCGACCCCATGGTAAAGGGGGCTATGGCGCAGTGGGCAGCTCCTATCCGGTGATAGCGGGTGGGCCGGACAAGGAGCCCAGAAGTGGACCCGACGACTGGCCAGAAGTTCCAGATGAACGGAGAAGGCTCGTGGATTTCGATGACAACAGAATTCAGGAGCTGGATGCGGGCGATGTGAAGCTACGCTGGACGAAGGCAAGGACAAAGCCCAGTCGAACATCTCAGCCTTCGTCATCCTCGTCTTCTCCGCGAGTGCGATCGCCCCCAATGAAGCAGGTACCTTCGACAGGCTCCTCTGCATCCTCCGCTGCTGGCAAGTCTAAGCGACCGTCCGTGGACGCGCGATCCCCACCGACGCCCGACAGCAGGCGACCTGTGCTACCGCCGGATGCCGTGGATCTCGTAGTTGAGGACCAGCAGGCGGCACAAGAGGAGAACACATGGGAGCGTCGCAAGGGAGAGCCGGCGAAGCGCGGCTTAAAGAAGGTATATCGGAGAGGGTACGTCGTGGACGATGAATCACACGGGGAGAGGGAGGTAGGTGAGGTGGAGGTGGAGCGGGAAAGGGAAGGAGATGAAGGTGAGATATTCAAGGTTGCCGACGAGGACGAGGACGAGGTGGAAGAGGTCGTGGAGAGGGAGGCCGAGCCGATTATTACGAGCACGGCCATTGAACCTCCCGTACATGCGAGGCTGGGTGTGTTGCCTAAGGAGGATAATCCGTGGGCATAAGCGGCATTCCATGCGGGTTGATTGGTATTTTACTCCGCATTGTTTACACGTGCCATGACCAAGGGACGAGGGAACCATATACCCTGTCAATGGTTGTCTATTTCTACACTTCATTGCCTAGTCGTTCATACATGCACTGTACTTCTACATCTCACTGCCATCTATACATCTTCTCTGTTTTCTCCCAGTTTGTTGGATTACTAACTTATCCGTGAATGAGACTTGGTCTTCTAAGGAATGTCGCTATCCAGTCAAAGGTTCGCCAGGACAGCGTCCGCCCCCGAGACGGTAACACCCGGAGCATTCTCCACCTGCAGAGGATTAGTGAGGTGTCGAAGGAGAGATAGGAGTGGAGACTAACCCCGATGTACTTCACGACCAGATCGTCAATGACCAGAGCATAGCGCGCGGTACGGATGCCGAATCCTCTTGCGGACATATCGGCCGAAAGACCCATGGAACCAGACCATTCAGCGTTGGTGTCTGATAGGGCCAGGATCTACGGTGGAGCGGAAGGTCAGAAGCGAAAGAGAGACAAAGTCGGGAAGGCTTGCCTTATCCTTCAGGCCAGAAACTCTGGCCCATCCGCTCATCACGAAGGGGTCATTAGCAGCAACGACGGCGATCACGTCTACGCCTTTGGCTTTGAACTCGTCGTACTTCTTGATGTACGGGGGGAGGTGGTTGGCGTGGCAGGTCGGCTATGAGCATTGAGGTTAGCATCAGATTAGGCATGATCATTAAACAGATGGTAAGCAGAAATTGTTTCCAGACGAGGCTGTGGCAAGGTTTAGGGGCAGACTTACAGTGAAGGCGCCGGGGACAGAGAACAGTACTACTTTCTTCCCCTTCCATTCGTCAGTAGACAGAGTAGTAGCTGTACGCGGTCAATCTTATGTTAGCCCAACAACTTGAGATGCAGGTCAGTAGGCACTACTCACGAACACCACATGCGAGCTATTATCATTCAGAAAACACGACTCAGTCTAAGAAATCGGACTGCCATAATATTCATACGCACAGCGTCATCCAGCTCCGGTGTATAGGGGACGTATTTGAAGGTTCCGCTGGGGATCTTATCACCGACTTTGATGGTGGCCATATTTAAGACTGTCTTGCTTGCCGATGGTGCGTCTTCTTGTAGAGATAGCTAGCAGAGAGTGTGCGTTGTGGCTGAAGGGATTGATCGGTCGGACGCGGTGCAGTTATACCCTGCAGCACGTGATCTGACAGTGTATTCGTAAGTCGCTGATTCTGAGCGCCTCGATCTTCGGGCGTCGGGGACTTGAAGATGCCTGCACAGTTGTGTGAATGACAGATGTCTCGGCGGGTCTTGCAAAGCAAGAGCACCGATGGGGCAGAGCTAGACGCTGGAACACAAACGGTGCATAGGGCCTGAGGATTAGATGGTCAGCTCTTTCCAACGCATACACTAATAGGCAATCAGATGGAGTCAGGTCCCGGGAGCGGTCCTGACTGTCAGGACCTCTCCCGGGTCCCTGTATGCTGGAGTCTGAGATGACAGGACCCCCGATAATACGGATAGAAGGGGTTGTCCAGCCGGACAATGGGCCCGGGCTCCGCGCAGCGGAAGGCCGTGAAAATCCCGGACACTTTGGCGGTAGCCCTGCCGGACATCGAGTGGCCCGACCATGCTGCCCTTCCGGGACTGATCGTCAGATTCCTGTCCACTGGGGGGGAGGGGGCTAACCGCGTTGCTTCAACTTTTGGGTGCGGCGTGGGCCGAGGTCACTATCCGGACAGAAGTGCTGAATTCCGGAGCCTGGGTGCAAAATGGGACAGAATCCGGCCCATTTCTTCCGAACATCAAAATCTAAGATCCGGAAACCTGGTAGCATTAGCGGGGGTCCTGAGATGTCATGTCTAACATGTACGACATCTACCGGTTCGGCCATGCAATGATATGAGCAGGAGCATCTAGGAGCATGTCCCGAGGATTCACAACCTTGTACCAGGAGGCAGGCCTGACATCTCCTATCACGGCCTTGGAGTACGGGTACTGACTTATACCGTTCTGAAGCCGTGATGCAGAGACGAAGAGGAAGGGTACGTTGGCCCTGTGACAAGCGTTTCAACTCTCCCTCCTATTTTACTTTCGATGGCTTGCTGTTCACGGGATCTTGTTTTCAGCCTAACATCTCGGTGGCAGTGACTCATACTTTACGGCTGCGAAGGGAGTCACTTCCCGTGGGACGCCCTCGTAAAAGGATGGTGGTAGGGGCCACATCCATTTGTACTTCGACTGATCGACGCTCGCCGGCAGACCGATATACGGATCTGTACATGCCTTATATATTTCGTTGGAGAGCATGAGGTGCGGCCATTCGCTATTTCACCTATCCTCGAGGTCCATTTGTGGGCGTTTGTGGGATTCAAGATGAAACAGAATGGTACTTCTTTTGGCGTAGGCGTATCGAATCCGAGTATGACTCGCGCAACCTCACACATTTTACGTGTCTAGTCAACGCGAAACCTACTGTAGGAAAGCCACGCTGCGTCGACTGCTCACTATTTAGACATTGAAATGAGGTGCTTGCCCTTACCCACCCCTGCACCCGTCTCTTGCACTTCGGCGCTGCAACTTTGCACTGTCCGGCTGCTGATACAGCGTCCTCCGTATCATGTGTAACCCGGACGAACAGGAAAAATCGGATATGGTGTCGCAACCAGTGCAAGGTTCGATAGTCTCCTCGTATTCGTATGATGTTCCTTCTAATTAGATATCACTATCTCGAATGCATACGTCAGGAAACGTAGAGCACATCGCTGGAAATATGGCGGAAGCAACGTCGAATCCCTCAGAAGGTGCAACAAGCCGAATGAGTGCTGTTCGGATCGTGTTGATGTTACATTTAGTAGAAAACTCCGTCGGGTCAAAGGAAAATCAGTCTTTGCATTACAAAAAGCGCAACCTTATATGGTACGAGTCTTCGAATTTCTGCCCTAGCATCTCATCGTTTGGAACCAATTTTCAGGTCCTATGAGGAATATGAATGGATGCCGTACGATCCATCCGAGTACACGCCGCCGCCGCCGCGATGCGATCTCGAGAACTACTTCTACGTCGATGCCCGCTATAAAGAGCGCAATCCCCAAGGTGCGCATGCTGATGGCGTTGCTGGCCGCTGTGACAAACAAATCGGACTCAACCCCCCCCCCCCCTCATCTAGAACCTTCGGAGATAATATTGACTGAGTTCAGCCCGATGCTTATCAATTTTCTTAGGTAAGATAATCGATTGCTATGCTTGACGTCTCTAACATGCTACGAAGGGCATACATTGGCAATGAATTTTTCAGAAGTGACCCGGAATACGGTCTGCAACGATTCTTCCGAATTCTTAAAGACCTACACTCTCGATTCAATCTGCTGAAAGACATTCTCGGTGCCCCTGATGAATGCGCGAATGAGCGGCGCAAATTGGCTCGCAAGCTGGGAGCGAAGGACATTGATTATGGTAAGCCTAGGAGCGCAAATAAGCAGTGGCCTGCTCTGATCGATGGAATATGCATAGGCCACCTTGGGGACGAACACATCAAGCAGTATCTTTCCGACATCTTAGAGCATGCTGTCGTTCTTCTGCACTTCCTTGACGCAGAGTTTCAGCCCATGTAAGTCGGAGTGAGCCCTGTCCGCCCTCTACTGATCACCAGTCCGTACAGTGCGGATCGGCTGGCAATGCTGCTTTCTTACGAACAAATCGAATATGATCTTTTACTCTACTACTTCGAGAAGGGCCGCAAGATCTTAGCTGGCAATGTCGCTCTAACGGTACAATCTACACGCTATACCGGGTAGGTGCTGAGTAGCAATGAAATCCGCAAGCTAACGAGGATGATTCCCAGAGGTCCGGATCCGGTATTCTACATCAAAGGGGAAGGCGTGTACTGGGACGGAAGTGATTACTCCTCTTACACGGATAGCGAGTCTATTGCGATGTTCAAGGTCTTGCCCATCTGTGTACTACGTGATGCCAGTGATGTTCAAACAAGGTATAGGGTACCGCGCAATTGGAGGACCTGTCTTGCGTCCTTCTCACTCCAGAAATGGAGGCTAAGTTGAAAGGTAAGTGGAAAGAGTAACTTGGAGCAAAGCTCAGGCTCAGACAATATCTTAGAGCGGGGAAGGCTCTATACTTCCTATTCTGGTATGCATTACAGGGCTTGTATGTTTCTCACCTCGTACATGCGGGCTGTTATCTGACAAGTGTCCCAGATGACGATGTAGGTCGATCTACTTGTGCGGATAGAATTATTCAATATTTCTTCCACGTCAGAGAAGAGTTATCGTTGATCGAGTGGCTTACGATAACCGGGGAGGGTACATAGCCGACCCGTAGGTTTTGCTGATTTTCGTGCCTTGAGGTAACAGCGACGACCTAAAATCTGCAGGGATAAGGAGATACCTGAGCTAGCGGAAGAGCAATTATATCTGTTACCAACCTCGGTATACGGGTTTGACCTAACTTTGAAGGTGCCACGTTTTTCAACTCCCCGTGGCGTTTGTTTGCTGAGTCGGACATTCCAGCAATGGAGGAGCTTCCTCGTTGAGAAACTTTCTCCTGTCGTACACGACGAAGGCGCCTGGGATCACCTTGTCCTGGACCCGGACACCAAGGTGGAGTGCTCCAGCGTTACATGAATTGCACATGCTGAACTACCGCACAGACCCTAATCAAAGGACTCGTAGACGTAACAAAGAATGTCAACTCGACCAAGCAGATAATCGCCGACGTGATCTCCGGCAAGGGCGGCGGACTGGTGTGTTCGTCTCTAGAGTGACCTAGAGCATAGCCTAACTCAATCTGCCTCCTTTCGCAGATTGCTGTTCTGCATGGGCCGCCAGGCACGGGAAAGACGCTCACTGCAGAAGCGGTAGCAGAGTACCTGAAAAGGCCTTTGTATATGGTTGGTTCTTCGGAGCTGCCCGCTGCGCCCTCGCAACTCGAGGAAAGCCTGAGGAGTATTCTGAAGGTACCCTCAGTAGCTACCCCTGAATCAGCTGGCCTCGCATTGACCGTCATACCTACTAGCTGGCGACAGCTTGGGATGCAGTACTGCTGATTGATGAAGCCGATGTATGTCTTGATTCCTCTATATCTGATTGAGTTGAATTCCCCTTTGCCTAGGTGTATCTAGAACGGCGGAGCTTGCACGAGGTACGTAGAAATAGCTGTATATAATCCGTCAATCTCATATAAAATGGTAGCTGTCCCGCAACGCACTTGTTTCGGTGGCTTTGCGGGTTCTGGAATACCATCGAGGAGTACTATTCCTGACAACTAATCGCATCAAGAACTTCGATGACGCTTTTCTGTCGCGTTTCTCGATAGGTAAGGAACCCAATATTAAACCTACTGATCGCTCTGATCAAACCATCGGCCGCAGGTATCAAGTATTCGGAGCTTGATCAGAGTGCCCGGCGCCGCGTTTGGCAGAAGTTCTTCGAATTGGCCAAAATACCTGTCGAACATGCCGAAGGAAGCGACTCCCCTGGTTCTATGAGTGGCTCAGACGCTAGTACGGGCTTCGTCGAGGTATCCGCGGATAAGGTTAAGGACGCTCGGCGTGAGCTCACAACGCAAGATCTGGATGATCTGTCGCTTAAGCCCTTCAACGGTGAGTACACGATACATCTTCAGTGTCGGACGCTTACTCAGATCGTTTGCAAGGCCGCACCATCAAGAACTTGGTGAGGACAGCCCAAGCTCTGGCATTGGCTTCGTGAGTTGGCCCTACATCGTTTTCGACTTCCTCATTCCAATGTCTGTGTGCCAGAAACGAACCGCTGTCCATTGAGCACGTTAATACGGTTGTCCGCGCATCAGAGAAGTTCTTGGATGAATTCGCCCATGCAGAGAATGAAGCTTAACCCAAGTTACTGTCATAAGTAGAAGCTTGAGTATGCCCGGTGATCCTGCAGCAGAGCGTCCCGTCTTAGGTTGGGGCTGTATGATAGGCATGATGTACTCGCAAAATATATCTTTACTGAAACGTACTGTATCCTTTGTCAATTCGACATGTAGAGATAGGCGACCTGCGGAGGTTCGGCTTCTAATAGCTATAGCCATCGATATCGCGACTCAGTACTCCCAGCCTCAGTACGGTACAAGTCGCGCCAGAGTCGCGCCTTGCAACTTGGAGGACTCGGATGCAAAGTAACTTGCTTACACTGTCTAGATATGCGTGAAATCACGATGTAGAAGCTCTCGCGAGTGACCATTTTGCTCGTTCTACTGTCGTCATGTCCTCGATCCGCATACCGCAGAAGACAATCCCAGTGTACGTATGAGCTCAGCTCCGACAGGATGCCGATTTCGAGAGTGACAGCGGCTCCCATGCTACCACGTCTCACTACCAGCCTGGACTTGGGCACAAGCTGCTTCAAGTTGCTATGGCTCATGTTTGTCTGGACACACAAACTGGCTCCTTCTACCTGCCAACAATACCCTTAATTCGGACGCTTGAAAGCTCCACTAGTTGGGTCAAAGTTGGTGGATGATGTTGGCGGGACCCACCCCTTTTTCTTCGATATCTGCGCCGATATTAGTTATGTTACAGTCAAGCGATGGATGGAGCTGCTTGCGGTCGAGGAAGATCTCGTAACTCATCCAGTGCTAATAAGCCTTCTAAACGCGTTGTTCAAGAACGCGTGTGATAATATGCACCCGGGACATTCGTGGATTTGGGATCATCTGTGAATACCGCTTGCTGAATCTTTGTTGTTTGGGCGGAAAATCAAATTGAAGTGAGCAGTGCAGCGCTGTATACACCTCCCCGAGTTCTGACGGGCTTTGGTCTACAAGCAGAGACACCGGGCGATACCTGGTAGTACCCCACAGGATCTCTCTTCCATTCGCCACTTCTGAGGTGTTGTTGACACGACTGCAGATGTCGCAACAAAGGCACCATGGTACCCTGAAACGAAATGACCCCAAATGTCAGCTTAAGCTCACTCAGGCTTCACAAAGCTATACTAATTTATTACTAAAGAACCTAATGCAAGCTGTCATGACCCGCTTCATGTACGAATGGCACCTTTATAGTCCCGTCGTTGCTGTCGTATACCAAACACGACCCCTTGTGTCAACGTCTGCTGGAGATCAGCCTCACGTGAGTCATCTTGCTCTACTGAACTGCAGGTTCTTATTACCCCATGTTAGGTCCTCCTCCACGCCAGACGAGTTTTCACCATTCTGCAGATGGATGTACATCACCATGAGACATGCCAAACGCCATATGGCTGAGGCCGGAACAAGCCCGAAGGATGTCCTGCGCGGGGCATCTGTTTGATTTAGCACCATAACTGGACCGCCGTATACTTACCAACATGTCAAAAATGGACTTGGGCTCGATCTTACAGGACGTTCAGCGGTCGCTGACTGATTGCACCCGAATATCTAGGCGTGAAATAGGGGGTCCAGAACGATGTGAACTAGAACGTTACCCGGAAGACCTCCAGCTGCCATCGGTGCGCATTTCTTTCAAATCTACTAACCCTTTTTCTTCAGTGTAAGCCTGGCTTTATTCAGGAGGATTTGCAACAGCGCTTTGGACCGCGTGGTATACTGCATTGGGTTCATTGCTATGAGCGATTTCGGCGATCCACAAGCTACACTCCAGTCAAACTCTGTGTTGATCTGTCAGGATCTGTACGGTATATTGGCTGTACCTTGCTGTCAGATTATGGCAATGACTTCAAATATGTCATATTAGATGACAGCTTCGAGAATTTGGAACTGACAGCTCCGCCAGGAGCAGTCGAAACATCGCTCTATATTTGATGGCAAGACATACTGAGGGTCTGAAAAATAACGCAATGTACTGGGTATCCTCGAGCAGGTATGTTGACCCTGGCTGTCCGTGCAGCTGAAAGGCTACGCCATAGGCAGGAATCCGAAACTTTGTGACCGCAGCGATTACCACTACCGTTGTGAGTTGGTACATATACCAGAGCGGATACCTGATCTAGGGCTAGTCAATGCCTTGGCAGAGGAGGAGAGCGTAATCAAAGAAGGCGATACGATGGAGTGGAACCGATGACCTGGTCCGTTCCGCTTCCATGCGGCTATGATCACAACATCTCATGCTTCCTTTTGAAGGTTCAACGGCGGTCCACAGCTTTCCGAGCGGAGACAGTCGACGAGTACTACACATATAACGGTTGGTGTTCGCACTCGATAACATGATGAATCTCTTCTGAATTCAACGAAGCTACAACAGGAGATGACTGTCGATCGGACAGGCTGCGCATAGAGAATTCCGATGCATGACGTCCCGCGCCTCTAATAAGCTTACATGGAGATGGTTTCCTGTAAGGGGAACAAAGACAGGAAAGGAGCACGACATCAATATCAATACCAAGGACATGCTCGAGTCAATAAAAGCGCTCACAATTCACAAAGGCGGTCCGCTCTCTTCATAAGATCCTCTTTTCCTTGGCTCAGCCCACGGTGCGAATGCAGCCGTAGTCAGACACACAGATGGTATCGGCTTCCCGTTGGGGAGACTCCTTCGATTCGGCTTGCAGTCCCTTGACACCACCGGCTTTGGACGGCGGGCTCTTGGCATGCCACCGTTCCTAGCCGCCATTGCCTCCTTGAACCTCTCTCCCTTCATCACGACATCTTCAGGCCAGCATATGGCTCGTTTGAAGGAAGGCACCATCTCCGGGGGGAAGTCTACTTTCCACTGCAGGAGACGCAAGAGGTCGGGCGCACACTTGTCGATGACCTCTAGCGGGATGACGAACTGTGTGGCCTCTGCCCAGAAGACACTGTGGAGAGCCTGTTCCTCGTAGAGTATGTCGTCTGCGAGGACGAGTGCTGCGACGAACAGATGTTCGCCGCGTGTGGCATCTAAGGATGCCACAGTACGCCTCACGCGTTCCAGGATGCAGAGGGCTGCAAATATGGCCTCCGGTCTGAGCATATTTCTGACGAAGATGCCGCGGATGAAGGATTCGAGGTCGATATAATTGGGCAGGTGTCGGCGAGGTGGGTCTGGCGGTGCGACGACGTGCAACGAGCAGGGGAACCACTCGCAGATGTAGCCAAAGCACACGCGAGCGAAGTGCTCGTAGTATTCTTCCAAGTCTTCCTCTGTGACCTTCATACGCTTGAGATAGTGTAGAGGTGATAAATGTCGCGCACAGGATCGATGTGGAAGGTCTGCGTTGAGACGCGTCGATGCCACAGCTCACGTGCTCGTGCCACAGGAGATTCCGTCCGATTCCGTAGGCGTGCGAAAGTACGTTGTCCATGCGGCCCGTGCTTACCGATGTCGAGAATGAAGTGGCAGATGGTTTCACTGCGGGCAGAGACCGATGTCCCGCCGGCGGGCATGCCAGGAACATCTCCCTGATGGGAGAACACTTTCCTAGAATGGTCCTTGCTGGACCATAAGCTGGACATGAAGAATGTCCTTTGAGTGAACAAGGAAAGGTCCCTAAAAATCAGGGGACATTTAATTAACATTGTCCTTTCATTCTTTATGTCTGTATCATGTTCTGATACGGAGCATCCTAGGAAAGTGTTCTCCCACCCTTGCCGTGAAAGATGAATGACCGGTGGCGGGACACCGGTCCTTGCCCGCTGTGTTTGCCACAACTCTGTACCAGTGGCTGTTAAGTCGTGCCAGACGATGTACAGAACTCTATTGTCATACATTGATTTACAATTGTCCATGTATACAGCGAAGGAACCCATCTCAATCCGCTGTCGCTAGTTGCTGTACATACTCACCCGTCCCCGGCCTAGCATGTTTCAGGAAGCTGTGAGTCGTCTAAGAATCGTGGTACATCCATTGCTAAAGGTCGCGGAGCGAGATAATCGCAGCTGTAGCTGCGTCGAAGCACTTTTAGCACGAGCACATTCTCCAGGAATACAGGTGAGGTTCTTGGCTCTTGGGACGAGTTAGGATGTATATCCTGGCCACGGACTTCTTGCATCCCGGGAGGGTCAGGACTCTCACCCTCGGTGTCCTCCGATGGCAAATGAACGGAAGGTAGCCATGTCATTTCAGGAACGTCTATTGACCGAGGCCATCCGATCTCTTCCTTGAAGCCGTTCAAATCCTGCGTTTCCACGCGTAAGTCCCAACTGAGATACTCCAGGAAGTGCTTCTCCGCTGCGACCATCGTCTTCAAGGGTATAATACGTCCAGTGGCTAGACACCACTGATTTGCTGCGTGCCATGTTGTTTCGTCATTGTACTTCTGCGCGATCAAAATCGCCACGCATAACACCAATGCAGCGTCGCCCGTGCTGCTCTTTATGGTTGGGAACTGTCCCTTCAGTCGCCGGAGGTAGAGTAGCCCTATGCAGGCAACGTCGGGCATAATCCGGGTCCGCGCAAGAATTTTGCAGACCAGGTCTTCGAGCTTCATTGGCTCGCGGCCGGGTGGCAAGATGACGGCGGGGGAATTGAAGGTCGTGACGATGTACTCGCAGCATACCGCCGCGTACGGCTTGTAAAACTGGGGTGACCGGGAGACAGGTAGCATGGCGAGAAATCAGAGTCGAGGTGAGGTGGAGTAATGAAAGTCGTGAATGGATTTATACACCTCGCACCACAGCGCTTGGATCAAAGCGCCTTTGTCACTTCTAGACACCTCGACACGAGAGGCGCAGCGTGCATCGAATGGAAATTAGGGGGCCCGAAGCATTAATCATGGAGGGTGACCATTGACCAAGCGACCTCGATACCATGAGTAGGACACTCGAAGCTTGGAGATACGTAGGTTGCTCTGTGGTGCAAGCGCAAACGCGACTTCCTAAACCCTTCTGACTCTTCATATTAGCGTAGATATTGTGGCCAAAGGGCCTTCTCTCGTTTGGTTCAAGTTGGTGTTGGTGAAACGCGAGCGCTGTGCTTCAACTTGCAGCAAGACCGGTGAAGCGAGAGCGAGAGAGAGTGGCGGGGTGCTCGGGCCCTCCGACTTCGACATTCGGCCCGGCTTCGCCGGCTCCTAGGGAAAACCATACACTGCTCAACTCCTCACTGTAGCGAGAACACCTCCATAAGGTCGATATCTGCAATGCGCAGCTCTTTATTAGAATTACGCAGATCGAAGTACTTAGTCTGCCAGTGTTACCAGGGAACCATCTTCAGGCCTACATACGTTTCCTATCATCCTGATACACCTATGTACATGTGTGGTCGGGGAAAACGTCAGCCCCAGCATTTGCGCAAGCTCGCCGCAGTCCATCAGAGCCAGTAGATCTGATCAAAAAATAACTGGGAATCATAGTGTCGCAGGTCCTCAGGAGGAGCCCCTGAATTCGATGCATCAGTATGATGCGGAAGGCGTTCCTAAGGACTTACCTGGAACTGTGGTCACCTCTAGAGGCGACATTGCAACATGATGGGACCTCATAGGATAGCACCGCCTCGTCCCACAGGGCGATTGAAACTCGGCAATGTAGGAGTCCACGTTATGAAGACCATCAACCAAGGAGATCTGTCCGTCAGCCTCCTCACTGCCATGGTATCGTGCAATGCCGCAATCTGGGGCCGGAAGCAGCAGATACCTCGGGGACTCAGGAAGGTGGTCAGAAGAAGAGTAATCCGGGCTTGAGGTGATAACGCTTTGGCCCACGTCTGGATCTCCGAGTTTGAGCCGTACGATTTCGCTGTGATCAGGCCAGCCTATCTCGGATTTTAATTCGGGCAGGCGCTCCCAGGCGACTTTCACTATATAATCATGGGCTAGCAAGAACTCCCTCTCTATCTCATCTATTTCATCCCAATCTGGAGTCCACTCTCGACCTGCCACAATGGCCCAGCTCTTCCTACTATAGGAGCTGTCTTCCATATATTTGTGGGCCACCATTAGAGCCACGACAGCCCAATTATAGAGGTCTGCCGCAATGCGGGTGCCCAGCTCAGCTCTTAGCTGAGCCGAGTCAAGCTTCAGCCTGATGCCGCGTAGCAAGAAGAGCGCGTGGCAGATATGGCCCTCCAAGGGAAATGATCGAGCGAAGACCCTGCGTATGCGGGAGCACAAGTCCAGGAATACCGCATCTCGCCGCTCGATTGTGGCGGAGCTTGGGAAATGGTCTATCATAAATTTCGAGTACAACTCGGCGTAAGGTTGGTAGAAATCCCATTCCGTGATGACGAAGGAAGGTTTGCCTGCAACCAAGAAGTCGCTCAGGCTGACGAGCCTCCCCCCTGAGCCCATCGGCTGGCCGAGGAAGACGGCAAGCAGAGATTGGTAATACGGGTTGGAACGTACACCATTCGTAACCCTTGGTGGGAACGCGAGAGGATTGTACAGATGAAACAGTTCACCTGGGTGCAATCGTTAGATGAGCAGGTGGATGTGAGTGATCCGCGCAACCTACGAGATGGAGACGGCATGAACGTCATGACATTATGAATACTGGGCGAAGGTACATCCTCGGCCTCCCAGTCAGAGGACTCGGACGCCATGATATACAGATCACTTGTTGAGGATACATCCTCAGTCTCCGAGCCAGACCACTCAGACGCCATGATGTGCAGACTACTTCGTGAAGGTATATTCTCAGCTTGCGAGTCAGATTTATAGAGATCGCAAAGAGGCCTTGTTACGGACACATCAAAAAGATCTACGCCAGCATTGTGACGCAGAAGGAATATATTCAAGCAATAGAGCGCGCACCGCGCTTTTCGTCGAAGAAAGGGTCTTGTTTTCTTATGGAGACCTGGAGGACGTGATGACGGAGATGCCAGGATTGCAGCAAGTCAAGGCTTACTTGAAACGGAGTCGTAGTCGATGAGCACAAATACCTGTTTAAGCCTTGTAAGGTGTAGCCGGTATAACCGACGTCGGTCCAATGATTCTGGCCATATCTTGTTTCAGGCGAGCCAGCATGAGTTTGTAGCATGATCGTCCATACTCTCTTACACTTGCAGTGACTGGCCACCTGAGGGGCGACGAGTCCATCGTCTATCGTCAGGACTCATTCGCCGCAGAGAGGTGAGTGTAGCAGACGGCATAGGGGCTACAGAACCACATCGAGGACGTTATCACGATAACCTGTACAGATACCGGAAGGCTGCGTCGAGACATGAAACATCAAGATAGACCACTGGACCCAGTCGGTAGGGATACACACAAGGATGTTCCAACGTCTTCGCTTCCAAGCTAGTTACTGTCAAGTTGCCCTAAGTCGAAACGCGACGTAGCAATCACGCAACTTTATTTGATCCGCCACGCCTTGGATCTGCGAGGCAGGGACCGTGGGTATGCAATTTACGTCCACGAAATGAGGGTACCACAGGACGGCCCGTCGAATATGGTTAGAACAGAGATCGAGTTATCTGTAATCCGTAAGGCCTGATCTTTTGTCCCAAATTCCAGGCCTTGTATCCAAAGACCGGTCTACCCGAGGCTCGAGTACAGCCTCGTTGAATGGCAGAATTCGAAACATGACATGGTACTCGAACGGAAAGAAAAGAGGGAGGCTGAGAGGCTGGAGGCCCTAGCGCAAGGAGCGTGAAGATTGGCCCAGTTCAGCAAACACAGACCAGGATGTGGAACCCGCAAGGACCATGCAAAACACGATTCTTGGTTCGAGGTCTGACTTGATTCGTCTTCGGGATGAATCATCTTTCCCAGGTGAAGAGCCAACGAACGGAGCGCCAGCCCCCCAGAGCTTCTGGCCTGCTGCCAAGGCGAAAGGGGCGATGAGCCTCGCTTCACGTCGTGTCTTCAGCAGGTACACAACCTTCCCCGACTACTTCAGCTCGATAGAGGAGTAGCCGTAGGGAAACTCGACAACGCTGCGCATCCCTGTCCCGAGCTTACGAATTAATTGGTCAACGACACGATGCAGATGGCATTCAAGAGAGACTGTGCAGTCCTCTCGAGCCGGTGTTGTCCATGAGACGGGGACAGAGCCGGTCCGAGGCATTGGAAAGCGCATTCAAGTTACCCGGATGTGAGCACCCGCACCCGGTCTTGACTCCTGAGGCGTATCGTCGCTCCGGCAACCCATAGACGCTGCAAGCTTACCGTAGTCGTTCAGGGGGGTAGTTATTTATGAACCCACATAGCAAGCAGTTGGCCGTAACCGGCCGCATAGGAGTTCCTTTGCCCAATGTAAGACCGGCGTGGTGTAGTGAGGATCGTAAATCCGGCGGATTTTCGCAAGAACAATGCGAAGCTGAGAACCCGGCTTCGATAGACATTACAGATGAGCGTCAGAAAGCAAGAGCGCAAGTCGGGAAAAGAGTCGCCCTCCGTGTAAGGTGGCTGCCGGAGCGTGGTGGAGAATAGACGAAACAAGCGATGAAGCTGACATTTCTCCGCAAAACACCTGTACACCCCACCAACGTTCCTCCCCGTTATTAATAACATAACTCTGGGACTCACCGCCATACCACTCCGCACGGCTACTCTCCGCGTTGCCAGCAAATACAGCAGCATGCCGTTCCCCGTCCCAGTCTCGCTGCTTTCGCCCAGCTTACCGTACGTATTCTGGCTGATAGCGCGCGAAGGACGTCACAGCTAACTTGGGATACGAAGATCACCGTCGACCGAGTCGAGCTCGCCACCGCCCGGGCTCGCTGGTCGACCCGTGTTCACAGGACGGACATCGCATATCATCGTACCGACACTGAAGGACCTGAAGGAGGCCCCACCGTCGAAATTGAAGAACGAAGCGAGTGAGTCATACAGAACTGGGTGGTGGGAGGTGTCCAATACTCATGGGTGTGGAAGCCGTGACGACAGATGTACCACCAAAACTCAGCACTATCGAAGCGTCGAAACGGTTAGCGGCGTGGACAGCGGTGGACAGGCATGTTAAGGAGGAACACAAGGTGCGCTGCTATGACTCCCTTGCTCCGCTGCACGCAGGCTGAGTAACTACAGGTTATCGGTATAGGCTCAGGTACGCGCTATATCGACGCTCGCTACGCCTCCGCCCGGCTGAACGATCTTTGCCAATCCAGGATCCACAGTCCCGTATGTTGTCGAGCGGATAGTAGCACAAGGCCGCGAGGCGAACAAGGACCGCGTTTTCATTCCAACCGGTGAGCCTCCCATCCATCCATGGCACTTTCCACGCCTTCCGCCCCTCTCCTGTCGCATTCTCACCGTGACCCTGATATCAACGTGCAGGCTTCCAGTCGAAAGAATTGATCGTGAAGGGCAACCTTCTCCTGGGCGACGTCGACCAGTACCCACGGATAGACGTCACACTCGACGGCGCAGACGAGTGAGTCTCACCCACTCCCCCCACACCAAGCATTTTATCGAGCATACTCCGCCAGGGTCGACAAGGACCTCAACGCGATCAAGGGCGGCGGTGCATGTCATCTCCGAGAGAAGGTGCTCGCTGAGGCGGCAGACACGTACGTGCGGCTTACATTGCGTTGGGATACGACCGCTCACCTCGGGCGACTATAGCTTCATCGTGGTCGCCGACTACCGCAAAAACTCCGAAGTGCTCGGCACGACGTACACCGCGGGCATCCCGATCGAGGTCGCGCCCTTCGCGTACGCCAAGGTCTTGCAGAACCTGCATGCCATCGGGAGCCCCAACGCCGCGTGAGCATCAACCCCTTCTCTCAGTCTATTCATATGAAGATAATCGACTGACGCATGTGTGTGAGGTAGACTAAGGATGGCGCAGAAGAAGGCGGGGCCTGTGGTCTCGGATAACGGCAATTTCATCATTGACGCGCCGTTCCCCGAGGAGGACATGAAGGATCCGTACACGGTGAGTCCGCCTCCTCATCCGCCGGGTGTAAGTTTGCGGTGTCTCGTTTGCGTTAATGTAGCCACCGAGTACCCCTCTGTTTCTTCGCTTTCCTACTCTATTTTATTTTTTGATCGCGTGAGCATATGCTGACTGGTTGTCTTCTATTCTTGGCTGGACATCTCTTGTAGCTCCTCACCAAGCTGAAGATGCTAACAGGCGTCGTCGAGGTCGGCCTCTTCTGCCACATGGCCAAGGCCGCGTATTTCGGCAACCAGGTGTGCACTTCTCCCTTCCTGCATTCCCTTCCTTCTCCGCTAACGTCTGATACTTGTTACTCAGGACGGAAGCGTGACCGTCCGCTGGCTAGACGGGCGCGTCGAGCACGTCTCGAAGCGTGCGAGCCCGCTCGTCCCGCCCGAGGACAGCACGGACGATGAGCCGAGCCCCATGCCCGACGGGCCCTTGGAACATAGTATCGGGAATAGCAAAGGCGCGCCTGCGGTTAACGGGAATGGGGACAAGGCCTGAGTACTCTGAGGAGCAGCGTGAGGTTCATCCCTCGCACGAGAAGTATCTAGTCTAAGAGCAGGAGCAGTAATGAACGACATTCAGAGTCGTATGTTACATAGTGATGTATTGATTTTCGATTTCTCTGTAGCTATGTTCGAAATATGTATTCACACAAGACCAGCATGGTATTTATTCCTCGGACTTGCCTTGAGCTTCATCGCTTCATCAAGTAAGACAATCAATCTATAGATTCATTATATTTTGAATACATTGTTGCTATTTCTCTAGACGGTTGAAGTCTACGCATTGTATTTCTCCCAAACCTTCTGGGCGACCACCTTCCGCGGGCACCTTCTTCCCGTCCACAACTCGAACTGCCTGTACCCCTGCTCGAGCAGCACCTCCACGCCCTTCACCGCGTTCCACTTTTTACCTGACGGAGTTGAAGCCGCCAGAGTCAGCAAGGGCGTCATCGCCGGCTTGTACGCCATGTCGATCACCACGCCGCCCTCGGGCGCGAATATTGCGCTCGGGAGGTACAGCCCCTCGGACGAGCTCTCGACGCTTGTAGCTGACGCGGGGACAGTGGAGATAATCACCGACGGCGCGGGGCCGTCGTCAGGCCACTTGCCCAGCTCGTCTACGAGCTCGATGTGCGCGTTGGGGAAGGCGTCCACTAGCGCCTGCGCGCTGCTGCGGGTCCGGTTGAACAGGTAGATGCGGGCAACCCCGAGGTTCTGCAGAGCGTAGATGGCCGCGCGGGAGGTGCCTCCGGCACCGATGATAAGAGCTGCTTCCGGCTTCTTTATGCTGCTCGGCAGGCGGGAGAGGATGGACTCGCGGATTCCGATCCAGTCGGTGTTGTCGCCGTACAGCATGTGTGAACCATTCTTCGTCTGAGGTATGATGGTGTTGACAGCGCCGATGGCTTCAGCCTCAGGTGACAACGCATCGAGCAGCGGGATGATGTCCAACTTGAAGGGGATGGTCACCGAGGCACCGCCGAAGTCAGGCGAGGCAATTGCGGCCCTGATCTCTTCTCCAACTTCAGATGTCTCAAAGATCTCATACTTGTACGGTAGTCCTAGGGCTTCGAAACCGGAGTTGTGAAGAGTGGGAGACATTGAGTGGGCAATTGGGTTGCCGAAGATGAAGAATCGGCGAGCGGGGAGTTGGCCAATCAGATGCAAAGCCGTCTGAATTTGGACGAACGACAGTTGTCCCGGCGCTGCCCTAGACGGGAGAAGAGGGTGGGTAACAGGGCTAAAGGACGAGTTCAGAATCCGAGACATCTGTCCTTCAACTCCCATGTTAATGGCGATGAACGGCTTAGAATCTGCTGCGGCGCGCATCTTGGAAACGAACTCGTAGAGCGTAAAGTTGTCCTCCAGGGAGTTCGCCTTCCCCACAATCTTCACAATATCTCCCAGACGCGCTGCGGTGTCATATTTCTCTTTCACTTCAGCACTGTTCCACTTCATCTTCCCGCTCCAATCATGCCAGGAGGCGATGATTTGCGAGTGACCCTTCCGAGCAGATAAATCCTTGATACGCTTCTCAGACCAGGATATCTCGACATCGATGTACTCAATGCCGGTCCTGACGGCGAGGTTGAAGAGTTCGAAGGCTGCTTTCTCGTCGCCATCGGGGAAGGAACCACCTTGCGAAGCAGTTCGGACAGTAAAGACGATCGGCAGCGTCGTTTTCCTGCGCAAGGCAGCAAGCTGCTCCGCGACATATGCAGCCGGAGGAACATACGTGGTAAAGCCACCGATGTCTTTCGGTGACCGTAGAAGATCCACCCGCAATTCCACAGCGTCCACTCCGGTGGTAAGTTCTTCTATGTGAGGCAAAGACGGCGTAACATCAGGATACGTGAGAGACAGGAAATACGAACGCGTGTCCTTGGCGAGATTGGATGCCAAGTTGGGCTTTTGTCCTGTTATATGACCGAAGAAGCGGGCCACTTCGTCCCTGACAGAGCTGAGAGGCTTGCCCGCAAGATAGTCTTCGCCGTTAGCTACTCCGCCAGCGGTATCTGCATGACCATTAGGAGAAGTAAGAACGCCGGTGTAGTTGACGAACTCGTAGTTAGAGCATTCGAGGAACCAAGGTTCGCGACGACGGAAAACATCGGTAACAGGCTCTCCGTAGGCAGGTCTGCTGGTCTCCTCGCCAAGGTATTTGACAACTTCGTCAACCTCACGCACGATGTGAACGACGGGCCCCTTCTTCGCATACTGCTTGAGGACATCCCTGGCTTCAGGAGTTTCGACGATTCCGCCGCCAAGGCTGATTACATGGCCGCTGGGGTAAGTGGACAAGAGTTCCTTGAGAATCTCGGTCTCCGCAGTGCGGAAGGAGGGCCAGCCATTCTGGTGAACGTACTCGCGGACACCAGTTTGATGCTTCTCAGTGAAGTAGACGTCTGCATCGACGAACGGCCACCCCAGAGTCGACGCAGCCAATTCACCAATGAAAGTCTTGCCTGAGCCTCGCATACCAAGGATGACGACAGAGGCTTTCGGGTCCTTCTCAAGCGTTCCGCTGGGAGAAGCACTGGACTCCACTGTACTAGCCAGCTCCACACCCTCCACCTTGATGCCAATCTATTGCACGAAAGTCAGCCAAAAGATCATATGCATAGCAATTGATACTACAAACCTTGTTTTCAAGGTCATCCCACCAATTGGGCCAAGTCTTCTCGACACAACGCTTCTCCTCCAGGACTGTACCACCGACTACAGTGGCGAGGACACTGAAGGCCATTGCTACACGGTGGTCATCGTAGCAGTGTACACTGGCGCCTTGCTTCAGCTCCGAGATGTGCTTGCCGTAGATCTCGAGACCATCATCCAGTTCTTTAGTCTCAACCCCGAATTTCGCTACAAGGACGCAATGCGGGTAAGTAGAAAGTCATCATCGCATCGCAGCTATGCGTACCCAGTTGATCGATCATGGCCTTGATACGATTGCACTCCTTGACCCTCTGGTTCGCAATCCCCTCAATTCTGGTGACGTTTCCTTCCACGCTGCCAGGTCCTGCGGCTACAGCGGCCAACACACTCGCCGTCAAGAACGCGTCCGTCATCGGCTCCATGTCGATGTATCCAGGGGCCTTCAATTGCCCCTTCGGCGGGCCCGTCACAGTGGTCTCCGTAGCGGTCTGCACGACCTTGCAGCCCATCCGCTCCAGGACCTCCTTCGCGAACCGCGCGTCGCCCTGCAAGGACTCGCTCCCGATATTCTCGATCGTGCACGTCGTGCCCGTGATAGCCGCGACCGCTAGCGGGTACGTGGCGCTGCTCGCGTCGCTCTCGATGCTGTACGCCTCGGGGTTCTTGTACGTGCCCTTCGGGATGCGGTACACGTCCAGCAATTTCCCGTCCGCATCCTTCTCGCGGACGACCTCGATCCCGAAGCTCTTCATCATCGCGATTGTCATGTCGATGTACGGCTGCGAGATGACTTGCCCGCCGGTGAGCTCGAGCGTGACTTCTTCTCGTGCGTAGGGCGCGCAGAGCAAAATCGAGGACACGTATTGGCTCGATACGCTCGCCGCCAGCTGGACGCGGCCGCCTTTAAACCCATTCGGCGCAATGGACAACGGCAAGCAGCCTTCGTTCTCAAGGTAGTCGATGGAGCTGCCGTTAGCTCTGAGGGCAGTTACCAAGGGCCCGATAGGTCTCTGTTTCATGCGCGCATTGCCGGTGATCACAGTGGTCTTCGCAGACTCGGTGGTGGCGTCGCCGGAAGCCTGTTGCACAAGAGTGCAGACGGTGGTGAGGAAGCGGGCAGCAGTGCCTGCGTTGCCGAGGTAGATCTCTTTGCCTGGAGGGGGCACTGAGAGGGATCCGCCGCCGCCCTTTACTACAAGGGTCTCGCCTCCGTCTTCCCATGCAAAGCTAGCTCCCTAGAACGTATATGTTAGATGCTACGTACAGACGCGAAGAAGGATACGCTCACCTTCAGATCCATAAGCGCGGACATCATGACCTGCGTATCATCAGAGTGCAGCAGGTTCTTGAGTCTGCACGTCCCGGTCCCAAGAGCAGCGAGCAGCAAAACTCGGTTGGAGATGCTCTTCGACCCGGGCGTGGCCATCCTGACCGGGTTCTTGCTCGGCGTTCCCGGAACGACCCTGACCGCATCTGCGAGTGTCTTCGCGATGATCTCGTCCGAGACGTTCGTCGCCTTCTCCTCGTACGTCTTCCCGATCCTGCTCAGGATGACAATCTTCTTCTGAGCGCCGCTGTTCTTCTTGTCGACTCTCATGATGTCAAGCAGCCTGTCAACTGTCAACAGCTTGCTCGCGGGGAGACTCGTGATACGAGGATCGTTCAACGACACTGGCAGGTTATACGCCTTCAGGCACCTGTTCAACCTCCCCACTCCAACTTGACCGAGGATGCCCATACTCCTCGCAACCTCTGCCTCGAGGATCATACCGATACTGACACATTCCCCATGTAGCATGGACGGGGTGAGGACTGCTTCGATGGCATGTCCGATGGTATGGCCAAAGTTGACCAGGTTGCGCAGCCCGGTCTCGCGCTCGTCGACCGTCACGATATGCGCCTTGACGGAGATGGAGCCGACGATGACCGACAGCAGGAGTTCCTGCGCCGCTGAGCGCGTCGACTTGGTACGTCCGGCGAAGTTCGCCGAGGGGGTCTGGATGGCCGAGAAGAGCGCGGCGGAGCGTGACTCGAGCGCGATGAACTCGTCTTCGTTCCAGATCGCTGCCGTCTGTACGCCCAGTCAGCTGAGGAGGATATGAGTATATGTAGGGAACTCACTTTAACTACTTCGGCCATGCCGTTTGAGAACTCGCGCGCGGGTAGCGTCTCGAGGAATGCAGCGTCGATAAAGATGTACTCCGGCTGCCAGAAGGCACCGATGAGGTTCTTTCCTAACGGCGTGTCGATCGCGGTCTTGCCGCCCACGCTCGAGTCGACCATCGCGAGGAGAGTAGTCGGGATCTGCACGAAGCGTACGCCGCGCATGCTGGGGTCGAGTGAACATGCCTTGTGATACTCGGCGTTGAAGGTAGGAGGGCACTTACAAGGTCGCCGCGACGAAGCCCACCAGGTCGCCGATGACTCCTCCGCCCAGGGCGAGAATGACTGTGTCCCGGGTGCATCTGTGCAGCAACAGGAAGTCTTCGATGTTCGCTTTGCCTTCTCGGCTCTTCGAGGTCTCCCCGGGCGGGATGACCAAGGAGAGGAATCTGGGTCTGCCCTGCGCCGGCAGTTTGCTGATCGCCTGGTCGAACTCAGATTCGAACGCGGGCAAGTGGAAACCCGCGACGTTCGTGTCGGTTATGAGGACATATGTAGACGAGGGCAGGGTCTTTACGACCGTGTCCACGATGTAAGGGATGAGGTGGAAGCCACAGTGGATGGACTCCTTGCCCAGGATGGACACTTTGTCGACGTCCGTCGGGACGGTCATGGTAGGCGCTGCGCTAGAGCTTTCACTATGCTGGGACGCGTTCAGACTATATAGGGGCTATGAGATAGTGATTGAATCTCTCACAAGTGATCCTAGTTGGTCTCAATACTGGCTGTACGGATATAGTGCGGCTTCACCGCGTATGTATCTGGAACGTGTTTTAGAAGGATACCGCAGCGTCTCAAGCGAGAAAAGGTCTCCTCAGCCACGGACGGGCACTGGAATACTTATAGCAGGGAAATGCAAAGGAAATGGTGGGAGAGGCTGAAGGTGATCGGACCAATAGCAAAACATAACTGCCAAATATGGCAAGTTTCCGAGGAGGAAACGCGGCCGTTTTCCACCAACGCAGTCCACAGCATTCACTGGCAGTGTGCTTACGCATCACACCATGGGCGGGAACGACCTCTTTGTATGCCACGACTCTAATCGAGGTTCAAAGGAACCTGGTCGTCGGGCCAGTGCCAATTCTGTGGCCTCGCCGCGTGTTTTTACTCTGTTCTCTGCCATTGACAGGGATATCGATGCTGCCCGAACGCGCTCTGACGTTGTCCTACCCGAAGCTATAGACAAAGGACCAAGTCCGTCCATCACGAGTACGTCGCATGTACCTTGGAACGCCAACCGAAGACCTCGCTTTGAACCCAATGTTTCGGCAGCACATATGCTTTCAACAAACCAGGAAGAAGCGTGTCTTCATTTGATGCCTTGCTTCAATGCTACTCACGAGGCTTTCAGTCAGGCTAGCCTCTCTAAACGCCGATCTCTCACCTTGCTTTTCAGTGTAACGATGGAATCAACATTGTTGCGTCTATATCTTAGTCGCTCTCTGTTCTCTCGCAATGAACGAAGAGTCTAAAGCCTTCAACCTCGTTTGGAGGTCCAGCCGCCGTCCACAGCAATAAGCAATCTCCTTGACGGGCATCGCACGAAGCGTCACCGTTGTGGTATTGGCACGGCTATGACAGACTAAACGGCTCGCTCAATGATATGGCCCGGCCAGTCGTCTCTTTTTTGACCAAATCTTGCCAAACTCTGTTATTCTGAGAAGGACTCGTAGAAACTGTTCTTCAGGCAAACCCAGAAGCCCCCGAGCCTACTGGAATTGGAACACCTTGGGAGCGCTAGTCGTTGCAATCGGGGACGCAAGGTAATCGCCTTCCCTGGCCCTCTGACGGCGAAGGACAGTTCATCAGAATCCTATAAGGATTACCAGCGTTATCAGCGCAGCCCGAGACCCCGATGGCTGAAATTGCCACTTTCCAGTGACCATTGATAGCGGCTTCCCTGGAAAATCAATGCTGTCTTAGCTTCAAGGCACACTAATCATCAAATGAGGCGGCCACTCCATGATCTCATCCATTCCCGATAGCAAATACGCACCGAACGTACATTAGGAGACAGACGGACGACTCACCTTTGTCCCAAACACTGAGATACACGTTTGTTCTCACCGAACCAAAGTAAGCGAACTCATGTTTTATAGGTAGCATGGTCGTAACAAACGAGACTTCTTGGATTAGGATCCGATAATGAAGGGCCAGTGAAGGGCTGATCATGGCCCGAACAAATAGTACTGTGCTGACACTGGCTCTCCGTTATATCGCTATCGTCCTTTTCCTATAGAGAAAGATGTGTTACTATGATCCTTGCCCCAGCCCTTAACAGGCTCTGTACTTTGTGGCCATCCAACGTCCGCGGCAACATCCGGGGTGCTTCTTGATGCGCTTGAACGGAAACGTGACCAGTGTGGCAATGTGGCTTGAACAGGACGCGTAGTAGACGAACCAACAAACCGGCCACTCTTGCCACACCCCTCCTTTGTTCGTCATGTCTCACCAAGCCCCACATCCCGATCCAGACGACTTCTACAAACCGTACGCCGCAGCATGTTTCAACTATATGTCCCGAACCTTCCAGTGCTCCGCCACAATCTATTCAGAGACCAGTAGAAAAATACTGGTGTTCCAGGACTTCATCCTACACATCCTCCGCCGCGGTCGACTTCCACCGGACGTCGCCTGCACCGCGCTCTTTCTCCTCCACCGCCTGAAACTCAAGTACCCTGCCGCCGTATCCCCGCGGGACGGCTCACCCGTATTCGTCGCCGCGTTGATCCTCGCACACAAGGCGCTGCAGGACGAGTCGTACGGAGTTTCCTCCTGGGCCACGATGACGCAGGGTATCATGGCGATCCGCAATATCAACCAGTACGAGCGCGAGCTCCTCGCGCACTTGGAGTTCGAGACGCATATTAGGCCGAAGGAGCTGAAGGGCTTTGCGCGGTTCAAACAAGAGATTGATTGGCCGGATCAAGAACCGCTCAGTCCTAGTACTACTGTGGCGGAGGCCTCTGACTCCGATGAACGACCGACCTCGGTGCTGGAAGTCGCTAAGGAGGCCTATGAAGCGCAGCCCTTCATCCCTCCAAACCCTTTGGATGAGGTGGAAAGTATTCCAGGCCCCGGGTCTTCTCGCTTGTATCTCATCTCTACCCCTCAAGCTTCAAGTATCTCGCTCGATAGCGGAGGCGCCAAAGCAGGACCTCGTTCGACGTTGCCACACGCTGGTAGACCTCCAGTCCAGCGCATGCACACTGACCCGCCCGCCCTCGAAGAATCCCGGCTCGCTCGAGCCACATCAAACCCGTCGCTCGCCTCTGCTATGACTTTTTCACCGACTTTCTTTGCGCGGCTCAGTGAGCACCACGCTCGGGTGACTAGGAGCGCCGGACAGTCCCCGCAGGATCCCACTCGACGGCCTCTCGCCCATGGCGGTCACTCTAGTCTCGGAAATATGAACGGTAGTATACGCCGTCCGACCTATGGCGAACGCGCTATGACCTGGTCTGCGCCCAACGGAACACCTGCTACGGTTCTTCCAAGCTTGGGTAATGAGGAAGTTGCGGATCAGCTGATCGTGGAGTCTAGGAAGGACGAGGAGGATAGCGATGTAATCAGGGCCTACGGTGCTCCTACGAGGTGGTGAACTTATGTGAAGACTGCTGTATGATATGTTGTACACTAACTTGTTTATAAGGCTTAACTTATGAATCATCGATCTCATGTGGTAGTCACCATGTAGCATGCAGGACTCCTTGGCATATGAAACGTTCCATCACTATATCTGAGTCGAGGAGTCGCAGTCTGTAGGATACAGGCATGGTGATCCCCGTCTACCTGACAAAGCTCGAAACCTCGACCAAGATGCACTACCGGTCCCCGGAAGTTGCGCCAATTAAATTTCAGCCGTGCTGTTGTGTGGTACAAATCTATGGATTCACTAGCCTACATAGTTTGATACATTATATCAAGCAACATGTATTCCGGTGGGGATCTGTTGGTACTACACAAAATCGAAAGCGCCTTTCCCCAAGACACGAACGAATACCCAGGCTCGCAATCACGCGCGACGGATAGCATGAAAACCATGAGAGAGTGAGGGAAACCTTCGGCGCAGAACTGTCGGGCACGAGTCGGTTGTACGGCCTATGTTCAGAGTGCTCAGCCAGGCCTTCCAGACGGTTGATCGGAGCTATCCGCAAACTCGAGCAACTGCTCGTATTCACTCTGAGATAGGTCCTTCGATACGCACGAGCCCGTCGAGGAATCTTCACTTGCCCACGAACAAGAACTTGATGTGGAAGGAGACGATGGGGTCGAAGACGGCTCGTAAGACTCATCGTCCCAGTCAGAGAAGAAGTCTGTGTCTCCGATATGGTCCACTAGCAGTTCATAGCCGGACGGCCCCGGTGGATAATGCGAAGGCACCTCTTCGAATAATCCTTCAGCTCTGTCCCAGACGGTAGCGCCCGGGAGATGCACTCTCACTCTATCCTCAGTGTGACGGGAGGGAGGGAGCGCATCTATCAGGTTCGGGATGTTCTGCAGTGGGCAGTCGAGGAGCCGGAAACGTTGAAGCGCAGGAAACAAGTGTCCCCGGTACGACCAGACCCATGTTCGTGCCTCTCGCGTGCACTGACGGGAACGACACCAGACATCCAAGAACAGCAGATGAGAGTGACGACGGGGAAGCGGAGAGTAGTCATTGACAACAAGATGTTCCAGCACTGGACACGCCTCGATTATCGCATTCACATCAACTTTCAAGCGACCACCGATGCAGAGGAACTTCAGATTTGGCCCTCTCGGGATACATATGGCTCCTATGCTTGACGAGTCGGCGACGCAGACAGCAGCGATGATGGTCATGCTAGTCAGTACAGGTGTAGCGATATGTTTGATATATGCTCCGGGGCCAGTGCATTCCAACCGCATACAAAAGTTGGCCAAGTGAGGAAGAACCACATCCCGTCCTTCGAAGTCCTTTGGCACACTCGAGTCCTTTTCGATGTCACCTATATGCATGCTGAGCGACCGGAGTTGTGGCATGCAACGTAGCAAGTCGAGGACACTCGTTGAGTACAGCACACAGTCGCCCAAGGACAGGTCGGCGATTGTCGACAGCTTTTGATGGAGAATGTAAGTCCAGTTATGCTCGACCGTTTGGTAGAGGCTTGGCATGTAGCAGAGTGTGGTCAGACGGGGGCACATACCCAAAATAACTCTTGAGGTGGCTTCCAGTGCGCTAAGGTGCTTATCGCTGATGGCACATTCTATACACAGACTCTTCACCATCCCGGGAAAGTCAAAGGCACCTTGTGTCCGTAGCGTCCGCAGAAACAGAGGCACCTGAGCAATCCTTCGTAGAGAAACGTTCGTGTACAGCAAAGGAGTGGCGACCTCCCTCCAGGCCTTACAGACTAGAATCACTGATTTCTTGTCGCGGATCATCTGGCACCACGGTGAATTGGAACCGCAAGCGATGGAAGAGTCAAGGAGGCGGACCTCGGGGAAGGTGTACAAAAAGATAGTTGCGATGATTTCGGGGATTCGAAGAGTAGAATGGCTGGAATGATTTACTGAGATTAACGGTCGCTGCTAATCGACAGGTGTCAGCTTCAGGAACAATATTACAACAACGTACACTACATGTACCTCAATATCGCAAGACATCATTTCTTTATCGGGCCTTCGGGATTTGATCGTACATGGATCAAGTATGGCCGCAATGTTCTCTGGCGTAGTGCCACCCCGTGGTGACGCCACAACTTGAAGTTCAATTGAGTACTTGCGTACTTCTTTCCTTCCTGAGCCACAACGGGAGCTGCACGGTTCATATACCTGTTGAATATATCAATCCAACACTTAGTTTGGGGTTCGAGGTTTACCAGTGGTGTTCGAGTATTGACAGACGCAATTGTGGGCAAGCTGGGTGGCGAGAGGCCAGTGCCAGTGGCCACATTAAGCTCGGCATATGCCGGCGACCTTTCACACCACTAGCCGTCGAGTTCTGTCTCAGATCTCAGTGTCTGCAAGCCGCAAGCTGCTTACTGCTTCTGCTTACAGTATGAAAGCCATCAAAGGTAAAACTCTTCTGCAAATATGGCTACAAGATGCTGACACCTCATTTCGATGTCCAGGCGTCCTTCTGACATGGTACAGGCTACAACAGTATACTTAGCAGAGACCCGACTCATCATTCCGCAGTGACTCCGCCGTCAAACAGATCCTGCTCTCTCTCAACGAGAAGGAGGGCAACAGCTTCATCATCGAGGACCTGGACGACCACCACCTCGTCATCAAGGCCGACGAGGAGTACCGGGTGCGTAGGGAGCTCGAGGCCGAGGTGGGTTCTGAAGATCCTCTTCCGCCTTTTCGGACTGAGAGGCCATCCCGACTTGCTATCGCCGGCCATTTTAGCTGGAGAAGAATACGTACAGCTTGGAGGGGTGATCTCGAGGTGTGTAGGCGGTGGAGTCTGGGGCTGTGGGAATTATTTCTCCTATACATGCACAACGTACAGGCACCTTCTCGATTATGTGTGTCGGTAACATACCGACAGGCGGGATCGTGACGGTTTCTGCGCGTGGTGCATGGACTCCACAGGATCCAGCATGCGTGCAAGGCACGGGGAAGTCCACAGTGTGGCACCTGACGTTACATGGAGAAGTAGCGACACTGTGACTTTGGGGTCATCGTGCATTATGTATATGTCTCTCTGTTGGGGATTCTATGAGATTTCCAATGTCGTATCATCCCTTTAGGCTCGCCATAGATTGTGCGACAGGTCGATGGTAGTGTGGTTCTTGTACCATTGGATGGTCATAGCGCATATACCGACGTTTTGTACATCCTTTGCTGTAAGTCTATCCGCATTAATATTCCGCGCTTACCACAGACTCATGGAAGGGAAGGAGGCAGGTAGCAACCTGCGTGTAGCAAGACACCTTTCGGGAGACGTGCCGCGACCGCGGTCCGTGGCTGTAAAATGAGCCCCATCTTCTGCCATCTAGCTCGTCCGGTCGTGACACGTGGATCTATGCCCCAGCGGTCTTGCCGCTTTTCAGGAGCAGAGATGCTCACCTAGATCACGTTGAGACTCGTGCGTGCTGCGACTTCCTTCACGCTACCCCAAGGCACGGACGATCCTCGCATACTCAGAGATAGCGCTTGGTGGATCTCGAACGCGGTGGAAATCGAGCGAAGACTCGTACGTGCGTTGCCAGTGATATCCGGGAATGCCCATTTGAGCGTCAGACCTCTTCTTGTTGTTTGTTCCAGGACTGTGGATGGGGTACCTGGCAATAATGGCAATATTTCAAAGGTCGAGTGCGATCACTGCTTCGCTGTACCTTGCATCTCGCCTCGGGCCCGAGTACAGCAGATCGATCAACGGCGCTCTCATTGATGTGCGCGGTCTTGAGCTGGGCCATAGTTGAAGGTGTGTGCTCATGCTGTGCTGTTTCCTGGCGGAGGGAAATTGAATAAATTCCTCCGCAAAATATGCTGTTGACGACGGAAGATAATAACACAGTCCTTAAACCGACCACTGTTATTTGGTTGGCAGCCTCTGTGGATGCCCCCCGCTCAAAGTATCGAATGGACGCTTGTGATTGGCCGGAGAGTCCCGGAAGACGGGCATGAAGAAGCATCTTCTCCGGCGATAAGATACAGGCGAGCCCCGAATATCTGATTAGATGACGCCAAACGGTCGATTAGGCGTTGCCCGATCAATCTAATCAGATAAACCTTGTGGTGATGCTGTCTCCGTCGCTGCGTGCTTCTGCCATTTCTGCTGCTATTCGAATTTCCGTGGCCTGACTCTGAGTAGATCGGCCATTCTGGCCGCAGCGCTCGCCTGCATGCCAAGCCATGTCCTCCGACCTCAGCACTTGCCCGATGATTTTTAGGACGCGTGCAAGCCAAGTGTAGACTTCGAGGCGTCTCCTTCGTCCCGAGCGACCCCCGAGAGCTTGACCCACCGCCATGTCAACTGTGGAAGAGCGAGAGGAAAGGCAAATTCTGATTAATGACCTTTATCCCATCCAGACGTGGTACGCTTGGGCCGCCGTCATCGGTCTCGCGACCCTCGTCAACGTCCTCTCGCGGCTCATCTCTCTCGTGAACCGCTACGCCTCCTCGAAGACCAAAAATGCCGGAACGGGAAGGCCTGCATTATGGCGGGTACCCCTTGCGCTCGCCAACGCCTGGCGTGTAGTCGCATATCGGTCGACAGTCAATTTTGGATGGGGATACACCATGAACGTCCTCGAGTTCTTCCTGACAGTCTCGTATCTCTCCGCCATTTTAGCTTGGGCTTTCGCGCACTGTATGTCTCTCCCAATTTTTTTCTAACGGCGTGTCTCACATTCCTTGTCCAGCTTCTCCTGCCGACTTTGAGGGTGTGGAATATGCCGCCGACTTCATGGCTAACCGCATGGGGACCATCGCTACCGCGCAGTTCCCGCTGGTCACCGTCCTCGGGACAAAGAACAACATCATATCCTGTGGGTTTCAGTTTTATCACAATTCCTGGTCTCATATCGGATATCTCATGCTCATTATGGTGCCCAGTCCTCACCGGAGTCGGGCATGACAAGGTATGTCTCCTGGTCAAGTGCAACTACCGTGAAATATGATTCTCACAACCCATTGTAGCTCAACTACCTCCATCGTATGACCGCCCGAGTAGCATTCCTCATGCTCTGGATGCACGCTGGTAGATGGGTAAGTCACTGTGCTACTATCAACAAGAAAACTACTCACGATACGCCCTGCTTTCAGATGCCACCCTCGTACGTTAAGCCCTGTTATTGACCGTAGATGGACTGACTGACATACTCATATTTCTGCTTGAACGCCAGGCTACTTCCCTCGATATGGTACGAGACCGTCTGGGTGCGCACGGGCGTGCTCGGCCTCGTCGCCTTCACGATCCTCACGTTCACCTCCATCCGCCCCGCGCGGGAGAAGGCGTATGAGTGGTTCCTGTGGGGCCACTTTGCCCTTGTCTTGTGCGTCCCTTTCTCTCTCTGCGGACGTGCAGGCACTCAGTCCATTCCCGACCATGTAGTATCTTCCTCGTTGGCGGGTACTTCCACACCAAGCGATGCCTGTAAGGCCCCTGTCCCCTTCCTCCCACAAGTCTTCTCACGCTTCTGGTTAGTTACGATCCCTGGATTATCGCATGCTTCGCCATCTGGGCTTTCGATCGGCTCGTCCGCGTCCTCCGCGTCTCCTACTTCTCCCTCGCCTCGCGCTTCTCCAAGTCCCATCCCCCCTCTGCCCCCTCCTCCGCCACGTCCTTCGAGACCCGCGCGACGGTCGAGCTCCTGACCCCGCACCACGTCTCCCTGCGCCTGCAGCGCCCGCGCGGGTTCCACTGGGCGCCGGGGCAGACCGCGTACCTCATGGCGCCGGGCGTGAGCGTCCTCCCGTGGGAGGCGCACCCGTTCACCATCGGCTCCGTCGACGAGTCGCGCTACGCCGATTCTGATGCCCGGGCGGTCGAGGAAGAGGGGGATGCGAGCAGCATGGAGAAGAAGGGGCATGGCGATGGGGAGGAGAAGGGGGCAGCGGACGAGCTAGTGTTTATCATTGGGCTGATGCAGGGGTTTACGGGGCGCCTGGGGAAGAGGGTGCTTGGTGGGGAGAGTAGGAGGCATGTTACGGCGCTGACTGAGGGCCCGTATGGGGATGGGGAGGATGTGATTGGGTATGATACGGTCGTGCTTGTTGCTGGTGGGTACTTGCGGGTCTGGTTATGGGTCTGATCCTGATCTCCCGTGTTTCATTCGTAGGTGGGACGGGCGTTGCCTGGACCTTACCGCTGCTCGTTGACACAATTAGGTGAGAACTTTCCTTGATTGGCATGTCCCCGACAGGACGACTGACATGAGCCTGGACTTAGGCGGGGGAATTCAAAGTCACGACAGTGCCACAGACTCGTATTCATATGGGCAATCAAGGAACAAGGTAGGTCCAGCATCACCCAGCGGGACAATCCTAATTACATACCACCCCTTGTAGACCACGTCTCATGGATCGCCGACCCGCTCACCCGGCTCCTCCCTCAGATCCGCGCGCTCACCGACATGGACGTCTCCATCCGGCTGTTCATCACGCGCAACCGCAACTTCTCCACGCCAAACGTCGACGTCGCCGGGCTCGAACAAAATGCGGGGGCATCGCCGTCCGCGACGCCTGACACGATGGACGCGAAGTCGCTGGAGGAGGGCGGGCCGTGCCAGGACGTCGACGCCGTGCTACGCGCGCCGTGCGTGCAGGTTTCGAGCGGCAGGCCGGAGGTTGCGGGGCTTGTGGGGGCGGAGATCGATGGGTGCCGGGAGAGACGCGGGAAGAATGTCTTTGTCGGAGGTGGGTTTCTCATTGTCTTTTCGAAGAATATCGACGCTGATGTATGATGGTGTCGTTCATAGTCTGTGGCTCGGCGTCTCTAGCGGAGGCTGTTCGCGTTGGCGCACGGGTGAACCCCCTCTGGGGCCCGAACAGCGTCCTCAGAGGAGGGCCTAATGTTGTATTGAAAGTCGAGAGCTTCGGCTACGCTTAAAAGACTGTATCACGAAACATAGATGTGTATTAAACTGGTAATAGATACGCCGCTGATGTCTGCAGGATTTAATGGAACACGAAAGAGCAGCGAATTTGAACCTGATAGGCCAGACAGGTCGTACTTCATGTTGGGTTGTGGTGCGGTACCCCTTGGGTTTCGAAATGTTCTGATGTTGTTGTGTCAGGGACCGTCAGAGTCAGCGTCTACTTCGCCTTGACTCTCCCGCCTAGGCAGCGACTGAAGCTCGTTGAAGATGGACAATATCTCCTCTGCATCCAGATACTCTGCTTCCGGTTCATGACTACCACCTGACCCTGTCAACGAATACGATGTCACGGATGAGGGACTACCGGATGGCTCGTACGTGCTGTCTTCCAGATCATCCGAGTACTCGCTAGCATTTTGTCCGAGACCTTCGAGAACTTGCGGGAGTAGTGCCTCGAGGTCACCGGAAGTTGAAAGGCCATATTCGGCCACGGTCTGTTCGGCAATGACGAGATTAGGGGTGTCCCATATGACCATGTCTAGCAAGCGAAGTCTCAGATTTCCCTCAGCATCTCCGAGCCTGGGAGGCAAGGCGTCCAAGAGGCCGGGAATATGGTAGAGTGCAAAATCCAGGACCCTTGCGCTCTGCAGATTGGGGTATGAGGCGCGCAAGTAACTGACGTCGAGTCGGCCTAGCCAAAGTTCACGAAACCAGTAGTCGAGGTCAGGCCCACTTCCGACGAGACCAATGGTGCCATTGCATATGTCGAGAAATCTCAGGGTAGGATGGCTGCCTGTGAGGCTTGCTCGACCGGACAGCACGAAATGCTCCAGCATGGGGCAGTGCTGGATGAGTTCCGCGATGCTCATATTCATTATGCACATTTCCAATGCCAAATACTGCAGTGATCGGCCTTTGTTAGCCACAATATCGCAGAGCTCTGTGAACAGAGTGCCTGTCTGATACATGTTGGGCTTGGAGAGGGTCAGCGAGAGGCGAGTCAAAGATGGAGTGGATAACCGATGGATAATCTGCAAACGGAAGGGCCGCTCCAGACTCAAGGAAAGAGTGTGCAAGTTAGGCAGCTCGATTTCCGGTATATTGTGTGAGTCGTCGGAAGTGGGAAAGTCCCCCTCACCAACGTACAAGGAGAGCTCGCTGAGGAGGGGCATTCGGCCCAAGCATTGGAACACAGAAATCGACGCAGGAACGTGCCGGCCAAGAGCAAGGGAAGTAATGGACGAGGGTAAATGTTGGTCGATGCCAATAGTCTCGGGCGAGTCATAGAAGTCATCGGTGTGGGCTCCCAGGAATGGCGAGTAAGTGAACCCTTTGACTTCGGAACACATCGCCAGTATGTCCACGGCTGAAGATTGGACCGCGTTCTTGCATGCATCAGGGACTGAGCAAACTATTGCGACAGACTTTACGATTTTCTTGAGATCATAGAGGCTCGAGCCTTTGAGCGTCCTGAGAAAAGCGACCAGCTGGCCGACGCTCCTCAGAGATACATGCTCGTACACAAGCGGCACGCAGACGTCTCTCCAGGAACTGCAAACTAGCATCGCAGATTTCTTGTCCCGTAGGGTTCGGCACCAGGGAGAGTTTGGGCCCTGCTCCAGTGCTGGGTCAAGTAAGTAATGAGGAGGGAACGTGCGGTCGAAAATCGCCTGGATGAGCTCCACAGGTAAGTCTGAAGAGCCTGCCCTATGAACTCTCTGCGAGAAGCGGGAAAGCCTGTGTTACATGGGCTTCGTGAGGACGCTTTAATAGTACTCACGTCCGGATAACCAGCGTGTGGGGAATGGTGCCCTGCTTGAGTGGGTTCGTTCATCCCATTCCTATCACCTGCAGAATTGTACGCGCCCTCAGCCTGAGGAGACATTTGACAGTCGTAACACTAGTACTGCAGTAACAGGCTTGTGGCAAGGGCGAGGCAACTGACCGGCTCATTCGGCGAATTCCGGCCGGCATCCAGCGTTTGTGGCCGGACCCTTGTACTTGGAAGTTGTAGGCTCACTCTGTTCGCCTCCTGCACCTCTGGTTACCTGCAACACGCTGAACTCGGAAGAAGGAGCAACTGTGCAAGACCTAGTAATGGCTAGTTGGGTTGTTAGAACTGACTCCGCCTAGTTCCAATGAGGATAGCACGTCGACCTGTCCGTGTGGAAGGCACTTGGTAGGAACGCTGCTGCGATCTATCCTCTGCAGCTCCCGTAGACTTCCTTACACAGTACTGGCATATGGCTCCAACACACAGCCGTCTATATTTCCAGCGTGTACTCTCGGCCTTTCACTGCGAACTTGGAGTCATCGATCAACGAAAATCGCATACTGGTACAGACCAGAGCATCAGGATCCTTCACTGGCACGTCCTCCATGGTGCAACACGTCCGCATGTTCACATGATGACAGCAACCTCTAGGCTCTCATTCATCTCCTTCGACGGGGACCTGTCTGCAAGCCTTCTACACATGTCTCTCGTGATTCGCCCACCATCCCGTTTCGTGGCCCCATCAGCTTGTCGGGGGTAGTCACGCTGGTCGACTACTTTTCATTCGGACGACGTTACCTGCCAGTGCTGCAGCTGCCGAGCCACGGCAAAGGCCGCCGTTGTCCCTGTTCACTGCATGCGCAAAATGCTCTGGTACTGGCTCTCCCGACGTTCCATCCAATCTCTCTTCCTCACAAGCGTTCAAATACGTGCCCCAAGCCAACGACGTCTCGGGGCCTTGCTAGGCATTGGATGCCTGCACCCGAGAGAACACGTCCGGCCTCGACTGCGGTTCCGGGATCCATTGACCAGCACCGCCTGGGCCAGGAATGCATGCCGACAGCCTGCCCTGCTCCGCATGAATAGGACGTGGAATGCGCTGGCTGTAGCACGAGGCACTGCTGTTCGCACGGCGATACCTCCACGTCACGCTCTCCGGCGCACCCGTCCTGCGCCCGGATCGAACGCCGCCGCGCTCTTCTCGCGCGCGGCTCAGACCGTCGTCCGTAGCGACCACAAGCGTCTCTATCAGATCGCCCGCCCCTTCCAGAGCGCGTCTGCACGAACCCCTCTCGCTCTCGGCTTGCGAGAGCGGGGCACCTTGGCACCAGCGCGCGGCGATCTGGAGCGGGCCTCCCGAGTCCTGACCGGTACACTCGCGCGCCATACCCGGCCGGGGGTCCTTGGCGGCCGACGAAGACTTGTCTACACGTATCTTGTATGCGCGCTATTCTTTCATGGCACAGCCTGAGGGTGGATACGTGTATGCCAACACACACACACACACTCTCTCTTCGGTCTTACCAATGCAGTCTTGGCTCCGGCAACAAATATGTTGATGCGACCGAATGAGCTGGGTTCCCCTAGTATACTGACCGCAAGCGTCTCTGGGCTGTCCCTTTTTTATCTCCCGTCTCGCGTCTCGTCCAGCTGTTCTGCTTCGAGGACAGCCCCGTCTTGGTACGACCCGACTTGACTCTGGCACCGCATCCTGGGACGGACGCAGGACAGCCCGGTGCCGGCCCCGTCCTGCGGTCGCGCAACGCATGACCTGTAGGTGCCCGTCTATGTATCTATCTGGTCTTGTACTTACATAGCTGTGGCTTCTGGCCGGCCGCGTTCGTCGCGCGGATCTCGACAGCGACGGGCGCGTTCACCCAGTCCACATCGGACATCTGTTCCTAGAGGGCGCGTAGGTGGTTGAAATTCGGGACCCCTCCCCCCCCCCTTGGACGTCCACGCACCGCAAGCGCACGCGCCGGACTCACCCCAAGCCGCCGCGCTCCGAGCCGCCCCTCTCTACCCGGGCCCGCGGGCACAGCTCCTCCAGGCTAGCGTGCACACTCGCCCCGCCGCGAAGAGGAGGGCGACGACGACGGGCGCGTGGCTCGGCCTCGGACATCGCGCGCACGGGCGGTTGGCGCTACGCGGTGCCCGGTGGTTATATATCTATACTCGATGCGCTGGTCTTGGGTTTGCTTGGGGGGGAGGGCCATGGCGAGGTGCTCATATGACCACGGCGGCGCCAAGTAGTACTGACTACCAAGATAGCGGGGGTATTTATAGGGCCTTGTGGACGCCAAAAATACCGGGACTAGGTTGGGATTAGGGTTTGCGTGGGTTGGTCTTGGGGTGGTTGATTCAGTGGATGATATTGAGAGAAGGCGGGGGAGCGGTCAGGGGTAGAGAGGGCTTGGAGGCGGGACGGAATGCGTCGCTTGACAAGATACTATGGCTGTTCGAGTTGCATAGGCGCCGCGATACAGTGCAGATGACTTGGGAGGGGCTGGACGTCAAGCGTGAAGGACGTATACGACCGTTCGCGCTACGAGGCCTGCTAGCGGGTGTCGCGGGGGCGGTAAGTTACATGTCGCAACCGTGCATGATACCCGGCGTCGACGGTGCCGAGCTATGCATGAATAGCTCGAGGCGGAAACGACAATCATCGCACATTGATGATCTATCCAGTGCATACATTCCCATCGCGAGTTGGGCATACATATCATAGCATTCTCGATCCGTGCTTGACAACCGACTCCGAGATCACTAGACGCCATGTAGATGTGAGACAGGCCATTGGAGGGGCGATCCACGAATCACCAAGCTTGGTGCGAAGGAGGGACAAGGAAAGGGAAGGAGGGCAAGCGTGACTCGGGGAAGGCTGGACGAGGCACACGAGCTCGAGGCGGCAGACTCAGTGCGCTAGAGTATGTACGTGCTCGATGGAGACGAGGCCTGTGATAAGAACGCGGAGGATGCGATCAGAAATGCCACAGAGTATTGATCACACACCGGAGGGAGATGGCCCGGGCGGGTGGAGATGGATGGATGGACAGGGATACACGTGCAGGCTCGTGCGCCATCATTCGCGTCGGGACGAACGTGGCCAACGCCTCGGGTGTAAGCACTGGTCTGGCGTCTGCCAAGGCGAATGAAGCTCGGCGCAGACAAAGGCACGATCGATGTCACTGGTTGAGAATGACACACGCCGATCGTCATTAGCGATCGAGTACGCTGCGAGTGTCAGCACGGTCATTATGCAGCGCAGAAGCACGCCCATCAACAAAGATCGCGCGCTCCTCGTCGTCGTCGAACAGAGCATATGCCCCCGCCCGCATATGGCAGCGCGGACCACTCGCCGCGCCTCATCTTATCGCCCGGGCGTGGGTAATCTGATAAGATGACCCTGCGTCGTCCGATTCGATCGACAGCGGGCATTTTATCAGATTAGATACCATTTAGCCACTGACATCTCCGAGCCGCGCGCCCGGGTCCGAGTCCGCGACGCACAACGCCCGGCGCAGAAGCCCTCGCTCCTGCGCGGTGTGCAATGTTTTCCCTTTTCGAGCCGCCACCGCGATATAAAATGCCCGCCCTGCAGACCCCAGCCCAGTCCCCCCACCGCGCCCATGTCCTCCACCGCCCCCGCAGCCGCGTCCTCGGCCGCCCCCGCATCGCACGGCAGCCCCTCCTCGAGCCTGCGCAAGTACTACCAGACCGAGTACCCCAAGCAGACCTGGTTCCTCTTCGGCGCCGTCCTCGCCCTCCTCCTCGCCTTCCGCCTCCTCGCCCTCGCCCTTGCCCTCCTCCGCCGTGTCCGCTTCCGCTCTTACTCGCGCTCCGCGGACGCAGAGACGGGCAGCGATGGCAAGACCCCTGGCCCGCTCCCCGCGTGGCTGCGCGTCCTCGTCGCGCTTGCCGAGGCCTGGAAGATCGTCTGGTTCCGCTCGACCGTCCACTTTGGCTTTGGATACTCCCTCAACGTCGCCGAGTGCTTCCTCACCGCCGCCTACATCGTCGCCCTCTTCACCTGGTCCTTTGTGAACAGTGCGCCCTCTCCTTCCTTCCGGTGACAGCAGAGCTGACGCGCAGAACGAATGCAGCGCAGAACCTCACGCTCAACTGGTGGGCGAACCGCACCGGTACCCTCGCCGCCGCCCAGTTCCCGCTCGTCACCGCCCTCGGCACAAAGAACAACGTCATCTCCTGTACGCCTCGTCTTCCCTTTCTCTCCACCGTTCTGACCGCCGTCTTCTATCCAGGGGTGACCGGCATCGGGCACGAAAAGGTCTGCCCGTGACTCAACGAGTCATCGCAGAAAACACTGACCAGCCACCCTCAATGCAGCTCAACTACCTCCACCGCATGACCGCCCGCGTGTCCCTCATCCTCCTCTGGGTGCACGGCGGCGCCCGCGTGAGTCTCTCCCCTGCCCGTTCCCGCGATCCCAGGCTTACTCACCCCCCCTAGTTCGCCCTCATGCGCAACAACCCGCACAACCAAGAAGACTGGCACGAAGCCTGGTTCCGCCTCGGCCTCGCCGCCACGATCGGGCTCTCCGCGCTCGTCCTCTGCTCGCTGCGCCCCGTGCGCGAGCGCCGCTACGAGTTCTTCGTGTGGTTCCACTTCGCCATCGTCTTGTAAGTGTTTTCATTTGCGTTCTCCTCTCGTTCTTTTTCCCGGTGTGGGCATACACACGGGCTGATTGTCGTCGCACGAACAGGCTGTTCCTCATCGGCGGGTACTACCACACCAAGCGCTTCCGCTTCGACGCGTACCTCTGGCCGTGCTTCCTCATCTGGGCGCTCGACCGCGCCCTCCGCACCGCCGGGCTCGCCTACTTCTATCTCTTCACCCCCTCCGCCCCTTCCCTCTCTTCCCCACCCGCCCGCGACGAAAAGGACGCCAGCGCGGGGAAGAACGCCAAGGCGCAGCCGAAGCGCGGGAAGGCGCGCGCGTCCGCGGCCCTGCTCTCCCCGCACCTCGTGCAGCTGCGCGTCCCCCGCCCCGCGGGCTTCCACTGGCGCGCGGGCCAGACGGCGTACCTCGTCCTCCCGGGCGTGAGCACCCTCCCCGTCGAGGCGCACCCCTTCACCATCGCCTCCGTCGACGACTCTCTCTACCCCGCGTCCCCCTCTCCCCCCCCCACCACCTCCGCACCCCCCTCCTCGAGCAAATCCTCGAGCACGACCGACCTGGACGCCGCCCCCGCCCCCGCCCCCGCCCCGCGCGGCGAGCTGCGCTTCCTCATCGGCGTGCACGCCGGCGCGACCGCGCGCCTCGCCGCGCACAACGCGCCCGTCACCGCGCTCGTCGACGGGCCGTACGGCGCCGGCGTCGACGTCGCGCGCGCGGGAAAGTACGACAGCGCGCTGCTCGTCGCGGGCGGGACGGGCGTCGCGTGGGCGGCGCCGGTGCTCCTCGACGCCGTGCGGCGGGCGGCGGCGGCGGGAGGCGGCGGGCTGCGGCGCGTCGTGTTCGTCTGGGCGGTCCGCGAGCGAGGTGAGTCCCGTCCGTGTTTGTGTTTGTGTTTGGGCGGGGTGTGCTGATGGGTGTGGGGGGGTGGATGTATAGCGCATGTAGCGTGGGTCGCGCCGATGCTGCGCGAGACGCTCGCGCGCGCGCGGGGCGTGCGCGGGCTCAGCGTGTGCGTGCGCGTGCATGTCACTTCTGCGCGGGAGACGTGGGATGACGATTCGGTGCATTCGTCCGACGGAAACGCAAACGAGAAGAAGGTCGGGGACGAGGACGAGGACGGGGAGGTGGAGGGCGTCGAGGTGCTCGCCGGGCGCCCGGACCTGCGCGCGCTCGTGCGCGCGGAGATGGAGCAGGGCGGGCGGGGGATGTTCGTCGGCGGTGAGTCGCGTGCCCTTCTTCTTCAACTCGTTCATCGAAGGCGGGGTGCGTGCTGACTGGTCTTGGTGCGTTGTCGTACAGTGTGCGGGAGCGCGAGCCTCGCAGAGGCCGTGCGCGCCGCGGTGCGCGTGAACCCTTTCTGGGGGCCCGGGAGCGTGCTCCGGGGAGGCCCGAGTGTGGACCTTGTCGTGGAGAGCTTTGGGTATGCGTAGGAGTTGTTGAGAGCTTCGGGTATGCATAAGTGCGAAGGGGGTGGGGTGGATGAAGTGGCGAGGATACGGTGAATAGACGACTATAGACGAGACTCACGTTTGTATGTAGACGACCGAATGGTGCGTGTAGCGATATCGATATCTTGGATATGTTTCTTTCCGTTTTCGCGTTGATCTCGGGCTTGGGGTGGATGATGACATTGTGTAGGGTGTCGGGTGAGCAAAGATCGGGTGAGCTTATTTGCTTACCAGGAAGTACCAGGAGGTAGTTCGGTGCTCCATGGGGAGTTCGCTGGTGAGAACAGAGGACGGGAGGATAACCTTGTATATATAGATAGCATCAGCCCTACCATGACGAGCACCGCGGGGTCCGCACAGATAGGGACTGCCAGCAGGCGGTGCAGGGCATCGGTCGGGAACATGCGAGGCCCAAGGTCTCGGATGCCTGCCCCGGTACCCTGCACAGTCTATTGGCATACTTATACAAATATCGAAGGCGGTCGTACCAGTGAAATAGGAAAGAGGCGGTACGAGCCGTGCGATCAGAGAAATGGGCGTCCTGCGATGGAACATGGCGAAACACAAAGTCGCGCAGGCCGAGAGATACCCTTCGGTCCATTCGTTGAGCGGCATGTTAGTTTCGGACCCGACCCGGATACTCGCGCGGTGTCAGGCCCCGCTTGCAGAACGCGTCGCGGAGAGGTTTGCTGATGCAACCCAACTTCATCGTCCATAGCCCAGTTCGTCGGGTCCACAGCGCAAGACCCGTGTCCTTCGATATAGCGTTGGTACAGCCGAATCACACCTCCCGGCCCTTCAGCAAGGATATATTCGGTAAGGTCACGACAAGTGTGTATTTCCAAGTGCATTGAAGTTGAGACTGACTGACTGAAGCCGCCACCCTCGTAGTAAAACGTTATCCAGAAGTCGTAAACATCGAGCGCCAGAACAAGCAGATTTCGAAGAGCTCGTGCAGCTCATCATCGATCATCGCTAGGTATCTGATCGAAGAAGACTCCTCGACCTCAGGGCTGTCGCGACCGTCTAGTATCGGTGAGACAGAGAAAGGCTATTGGGTACCACAGACGCAGATAGAGATCAAAGTCTGTGAGGTTGGGCAACGTCACAGTCGAAGTGGCCGAGCAAGCCAAGGGCAGCTAATCCCGTACGGCTCACGTCGGGGAGTCGCGCCACATGTTTGAACTTGATTGCTTACGACTTAAAGTTTCAACTTGAGGCAGGACGAGGCGGTTCATCAGGTCCGCTACTCTCCGTGGTGTCAGAAGCTCTCCCAGTGGCACTGCAAGTCTATAAACCGGTGTGCTGCGAGGAGACGACCGCGCGGCGCGTACTACCTGGATGAACAAAGCCACATCGCAACCTCATGCATGCCTCCAGGGGATTCCTGATAGTATCAGGCACAGTACTCACATTGTAGGACAGCCTTTTCCCGTTATACAGAGTATGACAGTTGTCCGCGGATAATTCGAGAACATCCAGGTCAATACGTGCTTACTAACTCGGTATGGGATGGCCCAATCGTTCAGATAGTGTGCAGCGCATGCGACAAAGTCGCTGAAGGCCTCGAGACTTTGAGAAATACTAGAAATTGTTTGGTATAGTACATAAACGTCAGACACGAATGCACCCGAGACTCCGCGCGGAGGCATGACACAAGCACAACCTTTGCGGATCCACAAATCGTAGCCTGGGTTTCCATGGCATTCGGTGCATTGCCCTACCAGGGAAGTTAATCCATGATTGCGCTAGTCGATGACGTTTTCCCAAAATTAGACGAGGGGTCCGGCGGCATAAAACTGCGTTTCTGGAGCGCAGCGCGGAGGGGCTCGCGGATGAACTGAAATTGCTCGTTCATCTCCCAGCCCAAGCGGTCCTCAGGTCCAGAGATTCCGTTCACGTGACGTCTATACAGCTGGAGTACGGCTTCTGGTCCATTAGAAACGGCGTACTGGACTACGGTGGCCGAGAGCCGCCAGGTCTAAGTCACGCGTGACCAATGCGCTGTGAGTTGCTGACGTTGTGCTTACAGTTTGAAGACCCCGGATACCTTGCCGGTGCAGCGGTGTGACGGCCCTTTTAAGTACTCTTTGCAACCTTTTATTCTGCTCCTCCACTGTGAATGTAGTCGAAGCTTTTCCATTGAATCTAGTAATACATATTTTCTACTAATTTCTGTTTTCTTGGGTGTTAGGTGCTTGCAGTAATTTACCCACTCGAGTGTAGACATAGAGGCCCGAGGGATCACTAACGGGATGGTTGTATAGTGTTGTTTTGCCGGCGGCCCTAGTTTAAGTCTCCCGAGAACCCCTTCCTGTATAGAGACGCCTGCGCTCACTCGGAGTGCTACCTGGTGGCCGGGTAACAGACAATATCATTACTGGACCAGGTTTGAGGCTTCGCGGCACCGTTTTGATATTGTTCTGGGTCGTCCACTTAGATTCAGTCCTTCT